GATGACTCACAGTTTTTCTTGAACTAAAAGAATATCTCTTCAAAACTTCAGTTTTAACTTTGAAATCTAAAATAATGAAAAAATGAAAAAAAAAAGTCTCGAAACCGTCCTGCTCTATGGTTTCCTGCCAAACAAGAAGTGCTCGAAGTAGTTATGAAAAATTCGGAAAGAGTCTATTTTAAAAGCAATCTTCTTCTAACAGTATAACTTCTAAATTCTTTTTAAAAATTGATATTTTTATTCCTTTCCTATTAAAAGTCAAAGTAGTTCTGAGTATTAATTCTGTTCCAGGTATTTTAATTGATAATTTATTAATTTTGTGGCAATCGCTTATTTTAGGGACAAACTCATAAAAATTGTACGGTATAGTCTCCATTTTATCAAATAGTTTTCAAGATAAATAATGAATGAGAAACTTGTTTATGTATAATTTAATTCTTCGAAACTTACACTCAATTTGCTTTTCATAGCTATAACATACCAAAAACTATCCGTGCCCTTCATTGGACGGATTCATTTATGAAATTGTAAAAGGAACTGCCATACCTTTCCATAATCTTTGTTTTTCAAACAATTAAGCGAATCCATTTTTTTTATAGTGGCGCCGATCTGAAAAATTTCTAATATACCACCCTATAAGTTTCGACCTTTGACAATGTAGAGAAAATTTGTCTTCGGATGTGTTTCACTTTTCAAAATAATTTACCACTCATATTCTGGTGAAAAAAATAATCATTTGAATGGTGGTTTGATAAATCTTTTTGAAGCCCTTTCAGTCGTAATTTGAAGGAAGATAATTTTTTTTCTGGTCTGGGCTAAAACCGTTCTGAAAATTTGTTTGGTTTAAGTTTGAGCCAATGTAGCGAACGAGGAGGATTATAATAGGACGATAAATTTTTGTTTGAGCTATGAATACTAGATTCCAGGGGCGGATCTAGGATTTTCTCGAGGGGGGGGGGCGGGTTTTCAAAAAAATTTCCAAAATTTTGACGACCTTTTTTTTAGGTCGACCAAATTGATTTTTCGAGCTCTCCAAAAGCACTGTTTTGCCCCTATTTTGGCAAAATTTTCTGCGCCGCAGGCAAACTTTTGAAAAAACAGTCAAAAAAGCCGTTTTTGGGCACTTTTTGGAAAATTTTGACAAAAAATAGCGGCGTTTTTTTTTGGCGCGCGCTCCCCCTCAAACTTAGTATATATTGGCGCCGAAGGCGCCTTTAGAAAAATTTTAGGGTCGGTCTGCCAAAAATGGATTTCTGAAAAAGTATCAAAGGGGGGACCCTTTGGGTCGGCAGGGGGTCGAATCCTTGAGGGGGAAGCGTCCGCCCCCCGCCCCCCCCCCCCCCTAAATCCGCCCCTGCTAGATTCGACTCAAGTTTTATTTTAAATATAATTTTTTCATCTGTCCATTTTTTGAAAACACTTGCCATGTTATACAATTAAGTTACTATTGCTATCAAATAAGCCTAATTTCTAGCCTTATATTTGGAATTTTAATCGCATCAAGATTTAAAAATGACACAATCTGTAATTTATAAAGTTTATTATTATTAGTTTTTTTTTGTGATTTTAGTCGGAGTATTCTGTGCAATCTATTTCTTTTTGGCTATTTGTGTTCAATGCTCTCAGTTTTGAGAAATTTTTTGTGTAACTTGCCTCAGATGACTCCGTAACAGCACTGATGATAAAATCTATCAACTTCTCTTTCTTAGCAAATGTCAAGGGGTACAACTGAAAGTATCCTGAAAGTTCTTTTAGCTGCTGAATAACTAGTGATAAACTCGTCAAATGTTCTAACTTTTGTTTGAAATTTTGGTTACCTTGATTCTGCTAAATTAGTAAAATATTCAAATTTTATTATCAGTGCTGTACGGATGCAGATTAAACAAAAAAACACCAAAAACAAATCAGAATTCATACCACGACTCATAACTAAAAGTAACTAGCTTGCCAAAATTGAAATTATTTTCAAGAGGCTTATTTTTTTCAGTAAATCAGTGAACCAAAAAATCAATGAAATTCATCAAAAATTTGAAAAATGTTCCAATTTTTGCAAATTTTATGGGCGTTGCTTTTTCAATTCCCTTATTTGAATTTCAACTGTGAAAAACTTATTTGACGTTCTCATATTGCGATGATATCTCACATGTTAACAAATCAATTGTTTTGGACGCATTTTTCTTAATACTTTAAGACAAAATTTCAAGCATTTAGCCATAAGAGCATGGGAAAACGAATAAAAAACAGAAATTTTAAAAGGTGGTGGTATGAGATTGGAAAAAAGTCGAACCGGCAATAAATTTTTTAAGGTTTGATGGTTACGTATCAGTATTTAGACAACCGCGTATTCAGACTCGTCAGTAATTAGACAAGTACTGTATTAACCAATCAGAATCGAGACAAGGAAGAAATTGAAATTTAATAATTATTTATTTCGTAAATTTGCTTTCTCATCTCGATTCTGATTGGTTAATATGGTAATTGTCTGCTTTTCGACGAGTATGAATGCGCGGTTGTCTTAATATAGACCGCTCTCCAGGTTTGGTATTGGTTATGTTGAACTGCCGCATACTCGACCTTTGAAGTGGTTACGTCTGCTGAAGTGGTCACGTCTCCTCCTCTCAGTCGAAGGTCGGATGTTCGAGGCCCACCATGAACCGTACTCGTTTCTTGAGGGTGACGCAACATTACCCAGCTCAGAAAAATAGCCAAAAAACTGCACGTATAACTTAACCGGGCTAAAATAACGGTTCTCCGCGAAGAATTGAACAGCTCGTATGTTGGTTCTTTCCCTTGTGAATATATGAGAATAAAGTCTTAAAAGCCAATGCCTCATGCTTGAAAGTGCTTTTCAATTTTTCAGCCTTAATATTCACTTGAAGTATTTCAATTCTGCTTGAGATGATCCAGTGCAAATTCTGGGATACGCTCCAGTTAACTTTGTGCCGCGCTTCTAAAGGGATTTGCAAACGATTGAGTTGTCACTTGAAACAATTTTAGAAAATTCAAAGAGCTTTTATTCAAAAGACCATAAAAATGTAAAGCAGTATCTTCTTTTTTTTGGGGTCTCTAATAAGGCGTTTGTTTGAGGGGAAAAGCTACAATGGGAAAGCCAATAGTTGCCCATTCATTGTTTTTTTTTCGAATTTTAACTAGAAGTCGGCCAAAATAAGCGGGCGATTTCTTTCTTCTAACTGACCAGTCCAGTTTTGCAGAACTTTGCGAGCATGTACAGCCGATATGTTACAGCCGGACAAAAGATTTGCAATTTAATGCCATCAATTTATGCTGATTTTCCCTTTGTAAAAGCTTAACCGATGACATTTTCCCGCTTTTGGTCCTTTGAACAGAACCTGAGTTTAACTACGTGGTTAAAAATCGCCGACCCCATATATGAACAAGGCTGATGTTAGTGCAACCGACCATAACGCTTCTATTTCGCATGTACAATTTACGGAACGGGTACTCTTGTTTTTTGACCCCTCAAAGCGGGTTGCCGCAAATGTTGCTGCAGAATTTCCGCTTCAATTATCATCAATGTAGCTAGCTCATAGGCTGGTTTCCTTTCAGGCTTTAAAATGTAAATTAACCCGCTCCCTATTTTTTATTCACAAATTATTCGCAGACTTTTTTCGCTGCTATTTCAAATTGTGTTACCAGTTTTCCAATAGTTAACTTGCCGTCTTTGAAGCGAAGCAGCTATTTTAACTAACCAATGTATATACCAGGAAACTTTTGCAGGCGTTGCAAATTATACTGAAAATTACTTTTTTTATCGGCGCCAACTTGAATTATTGTTATCGGTTGATAAACGTTCTATTAGATATTTTCTGCCATCAGCAGCAGAAACAAAACGCTTATCTATTCTAGATCATTTTTATCGATATACATTATGACTATCTTTCCATTTTACCTTGTCCGGGACTTCATTAAAAATCGGCTTTGTTTGACTATTTAAATTGCTTTGGAATTTGCCTAAAATTCCAAATTTGTGTTTTCCTCTGTTTGGTTAGATTTTAAATTTGTAAAATTTGAATGCTTTTAACGTTTTCCTAAATTCGCTTATCTTCTTTTATCAACTGTAAATGTAAAATGCTTTAAAATGAAGATAAAACATTTCCTTTTTTTACCCGTTTATTGAGCATGTATATAAATTTTACAGAATCTCAACTTTATAAACTTTTTATTTTTATCGTTTAACTTTAGTCAATTTCCAAATATTCTGCATAAAATGTCGGATGATTCGATGAATTCCTCCCAAAACCTTCAAAAAAAGGGCACTCAAAAATCAGATAATTTTTTGAATGCGCATCCTGTGGTGAGACTCGTGAAAAGCCACGAAGTCGTGTTGCAAACTCAGTCGTCGCCGAGTAGTTCTAATCACAGCACTGTTTTATCAGAACGTAACAAAAATCAGTTGACTTGTGCTCATCTAACGACCAGTAGATGGTATAACAAAAATGTCGCGTCTAACCAAACTTTGCACTCACCTTTGTCTAACTGCAGCTCAGAAGCGTCATACTCCCCGAGCATTTACAGTCCAGATGGCGAATTTTCTCAAAGCCCCCGAAATCTGGAAAGACCTCAGATTCCGCCGCAATCGTTGTCCGTTTCCAACAGTCCCGATTGGAGGTCTACGATTTTTAGATTCGAACCTGAAAAAAGCGCTGCCAGAACTAAAAGTACCGGCTCCTCTGCTAGTTCAAGATTCAGAATTGGGGGTCTGAGTTTGCGCAAAATTGACAATTTTCCCAAAAAAGGCAAGAATTTGTCGCTGCGGAGACTGCATTCGCCGCATAAATCTAAAAGAAAAACCGGCCTGGAAACCGAACTTAATGCGCTGAAAGAGTTCGCTCGTGAGCTCAATTCGGGCTTGAATTCGCCGGATGAGTTGATAGATTATGCCAGTTACAAGTTTATAAATTTAGACGTTTCAGCATCTGAGCTGGAAGCGCTGCGATTAGTCGTAAACTTGGATTTATTTTTCGTGGCTGATGTTTTAGTGCCGAAGAGCAAATATTTCAACCGACTCGCGTTTCGCAAACTCAAGCGAAAGTCGAGTGTCAAGTCGGCCCGAGATGCTCCTCGTAATTCGATCACGACAAGTCAGTCGGTGATCGCAGGCGAGAACGATTCAGGTTTCGGACCAATGCGTTCGGAATGCACGTGGAGATGTGTGGCGTCTTCGTCTAACGAGGTAAATTCAAGTCTAGAACATTCTTAAATGAAGTAGTTTTCTAGGATGTAATATTTACCTCTATGGCCAAGCTTATTATGACTATTTTTGCAGTAAAAAAGTGAGCTTTATCTTATTTCAATGTTCTAAAATTATAGCAGGTGAACGAATGAAAAAATATATTTTCTAAGTTGAAGCTTCTAGGCTACCAGTCAATTGATTAAGCGTGTTTAACTGTTCTTTAGCATACAACTTAAAGCATTTAAGGCCATGTAAAGTTTAGCTCAAAACGACTTCATTTGATTGAATGAAAAAAAATTTCTGCAGAAAGAGCTGTTCGACAAACTGAACACAAGTGACGTCATTGCAGTCCATTCAAAATGCACCAATCAGAATAGTCAGATGCAGCGGACACCAGCCCACACGTGGGTGCACAAGAGCGGCCAGTGTTCGCTGGAGATCCCGGACACGCCTCTGTTCCAGCTGACAGAGGCGGAAGTTGTCACTCTGCAGAAGCTGGCTGTCATCTGCCTTCGTGCCACTGACTTCTCCTGCAATATCATCATACCCAGAGGTCAGTTTAGAATCAATGACCTCTCATTTACTATCGATCTTGGATATTTAACTATCACCACTCCCCATATGATGCCTTGTAGAGTTTTCTAACTAAGATGAAACTATCGGGAACACATGTTGACTTTAATCGAACCCATGTTTGCGGGTAGCTGCTGACAACAGCATCTAATAGTATAACATAGCCTTAGACAAAAAAAATAAGACTATTTCTGCCTCGTTTTGACTCCGAAGTAGTTCACTTTTCGGCAGCTAGATGATTGACAACATTTCGTTTCACAAGTAAATTAACCGGAAGGAACTACGGGAAATTACAAGTCAAGAGAAAACACAAAACTGCCCCGAAATTAGGCATTTAAAAGCAAAGTTCAAAGTCAAAAATGCAAGTTGGAAACTAATTTATCAATTAGCGCCCGAAAAAACGTAAAAAAGCGCCTGTGAAAAAAGCGAACATTTTTTTGATAAGTAATATGAAATTGTACACAAAAAACTCAAAAATCGCAAACTTAATTTCATTCGCTGTTAATTCGCCCCCCCCCCACCCCTGCAAAGCAAGAACAGGTCGGGTCGGGTCCAGAAACTGCTCTTGTCAAGGACTGCGGACAATTTGTTTCCACCGTAGCACCGTTGGCCTAGGTGGATCGGGTTGTAATAGCGGAGCATTCGGTTTGCTTCAAAAATTGTGCTGAATCGTGTTACGTCAATCCTATTTTATCGGCAAAAAGGACCATAACAACCTGATTTTGTTTCAAAACAGGAATCTTGAATTTCAAAGTAAACATCGGAATTCACTAACAGTAACCAAACTTTAAGGCAACAACGGATTTTAGTAATTTCAAAGAGCACGAACTTAATTTTTGCCTGTAATTCCAGTAAAAACAATTACTGATTTGACATCAAGGCAACGCCCGCAAAACTCATACTGCACATTAAAGCCAATTTTAAGTTTTTTAGTTTTTTGCTTGAAAAAGGACAAACTAATCGAAAAAAAAAGATCTTTTTATTGTTTGTTTCTGCAATTTATCCTCCATAGGCTTTTGTAAATTATGAAAGGATGTGATTAGCGCGTTGAACAATAACAAGACTGCTCGTATCAGGGCGAAGCCTTGAATGTTCCGACTGCCTTTTAAGGCTTATGGAGCAGTAATAACATTAAAAAATTAAATGTAAAAAAAAAACACATGAAAAATTTTTTTCCAAAAATTTGATTTTTTTTTGAAGTTCATCCCCCACACGCCATATAAAGTACAAAAGGATAGATTTCGCTGCTTGTAACAAATCAATTATGGCAAATAAGCTTCGTTAAACCAATTTGGAACAATTTCTAAGACGAATTAACTCTCCGCTTACGCGGTAATATCGCGAAATATATCGCACGTTAATTGTTCTAAATTGGCCAAAATGGCAATCTTTGAGCCCCCATAACTTTACAAAAAATGATCACAGGTGAAGTATCTTTTCAAATTTAAGCTCACGACAACAATACACTTTGAATGATAAAAAAAAATTCCGCCAAAAATGGCTAGTTAAAAAGTCGAAATTTGTCTGAAGAAAAAAAAACCCACCCCGAGCACAAATATTCCGTTACTTTTGTATCGAAAGTCGGAACAATAAAACCAAACGACCATTTATCCGCAGTCCTTGTGTGCTACTAGAAGCCTTGCGGGCTAATTAGTCCTATTTGGCCCCAAATTAGCAATTTCAAACTCGGATAGTTTTTTGAAAATTGATCACAGCTGAATTTTTATCAACGTTTGAGCTCCCAACAACCAGATGTTTTAGATGTTATGAAATACTTCCACCAAAAATTCTTAGTTAAAAAATTGAAAATTGAGAAACAAATTACAAAAAATCACCTAAAGAGTAAATATTCCGCTTTTTCTTTGAAAGTCGGAACATTAACAAATGATAATTTTTCATCCGATTTTCCAATCAAGTGACGGATTATTTGAGCTCGCGGTAGTTTTTCTCCAGACGGTCAAGTTTCGATGGATTTCATTTACATCATCTGAAGTGTATTGAATTGTTCAACTGATAATTTGAAAGAGTATTTTTTAGTTGTGAAAGTTGTCAGTAAAGTTATGGGGGTTTAAAGATTGCCAATTTGACCAGTTTGGGATAATAGACGCGCGATGTATTTCGTGATTTAAGGCTTAAAGGGGGATGATCCTTAATAGAAAATGTTCCAATTTGAATTGAGACATGCACTTTGGTCTATTTAATTGGTTTCTTTACGAAATATATCACTTTGTGTTTTGCATAGCTTGTCGGGGATGATTTTCCAAAAAATATATATATCTTAATTTTTTTTCGTAGTTTTTTTGAAATTGGTTTTTTCATTCTATAGAAAACACTAACCATAGACCTTAAAGGCAATTGTAAAAGCCAGGGCTTCACCTTAAAAATTTTCTAAGTCTTTCTCAAAAAGTTTTCTGAAAAATCGAAAACTGAGAACAAAAAATCACCTCAAGAGTAAATATTCGGTTTTTTTTGAAAGTCAAAACATTAACAAATGATCATTTGTCATCCGACTTTCGAATCAAGTGACGGAATATTTGTGCTTGCGGTAATTTTTCTCCAGACAAGTTTCGATGGATTTCATTTACATCATCTGAAGTGTATTGTTTTGTTCAACTGATAATTTAAAAGAGTATTTTTTAGTTGTGATAGTTGTCAGTAAAATTATGGGGGTTTAAAGATTGCCAATTTGGCCAGTTTGGGATAATCGACGCGCGATGTATTTCGTGATTTAAGGCTTAAGCGGAGATTTAATTCTTCTTAGAAAATATTCCAATTTGAATTGAGACATGCACTTTGGTCTATTTAATTGGTTTCTTTACGAAATATATCACTTTGTGTTTTGCATAGCTTTTCGGGGATGATTTTCCAAAAAATATATATCTTAATTTTTTTTCGTAGTTTTTTTGAAATTGGTTTTTTTTTTGAAAAATCATTTGTCATTCTATAGAAAACACTAACCATAGAGCCTTAAAGGCAATTGTAACAGCCAGGGCTTCACCTTGATACGAGCATTCATGTTTGAATTCATCCGAATCTCAATTGAAAGGGTTCAAGTTTGATACTGTAGTTGACCCCCTACGAGCGTTCTTCGAGGATCCGGCCATATAAATCCTTCCATCAGAGCCTTCAGAGCATTCTTCTTTCCCTATCCCATGCCAAACTTCAAAAGCATTATGCTTTCTATTTCATTAAATTTTATTTCCTATCATTTCAGTTTTCCTGTAAAGTCGCCGAATAATTTCTTTATCTCGAGAAATTGCAAATGGCGATGAAATAATTTCTCAATTTCTTTTAGAGTTTCCTTTGGAGACAACGAAGCGTTTCTCCAGCAACTCTGGTGGTCTCAATTCCAGATTCTGCAATCTCAGAAAGTCATCAAGAAGTAAGTCCCAGTTCTTTTCTTTTGTGATATTACTTTTTTTTAAAAAAGTTTGTACAGTTTGTTGAAAGTATTTGATCACCAACTGATATTGTATCTTTTTTTTGCATTGAAAAACTAACTAATTTAAAGCATTGAAAAAAGGCTTTTTCGAATCTTCAATTTTGTTTTCTCTGAAAACTATTTGGTTTCTTCTGGCATACAAAAAATTGTTTAAAATGATTTTTATTGTTTTAAATTGCATTTTAAAATGTCAATGTCAATGAGTGACAAATTTGAACAACATTATTTCATGTATTAGGAGATTGAGAAACTTGAAAAGAGCCGGAAAAAATTTGTTATGTTTAGATTCGTCAGAGACACAATCCAGGTTGTTTGGGGTCTCGCTGGGATCTTTGGTTCGGAATCAAGACAAGGAGAACTTCCCGGAACCCAGTGTTGAACCGCCATCGCCCGACAATCCGAACCCCAGTGAGCAGGATCCGACACCGACAAAAGAAACCGATAATTTCATAGATCGAAAGGATACTAAGACGATGGCAGACGCGGAGAAAGAACACATTGAGAAGTTGAAGAGTTATTTGACCAATGATCACCCGGAAACACTCGGGAAGGCGGTTTTTATCAGTTCCTCAATCGGAAATATCGCAGCACCTCAATCTTTTGCTGTTCGAAAGGTAGGAAACATCATAAAATTAGCATCATTGAGTATTCAACGTCCCCCACCAGAAATTTTTAAATTTTCTTTTAAATGTTTGTTGACAATGTCAAATTGTAATAAAAATTCGCTGGTGAGTTAGTTGCAAACATAAAACACATTTTATGGGTGCATAAACTTATACTAAATAACTGGTTTCTTTTCAAAATACAATAAATATATAATAGTCACACAAGTGAGCTAGAGAGAGTAGTATAAGAATGACTCAACTTTTTTTTCCAACCTAGCTCGCAATTGAAAGTGATCATTTGACGGCACTTTGGCTATGATCAAAAATAATAAGATTGAAAATTTGTTCTCCGTTTTATTTGCGGCTAGTGTTCCACGATTGTAAAGCATCCTTGACTGAGAGGAAAGAGAGTAAAGTAAAATCTCAAGATTGCAGGTTTGAATCCGATACGTAGCAAAATTTTGTTAATTCGGGGCTTTTTCCGACTTTTTCTTATTTCATTATGTATATCAACTCTTTTGTCATGCTCACGCTAGTGTTTGCGAAGCGCAGCTTTGCCTCTGTGTTATTGTTTTCAAAATATATTACACGAAGTTCAAAACTATATACAATTCTTTCAGAAAAAAAAAACATTTTTGAAGGGAGTTGATGAAGAAAAATTAGAGCTATGAATGCTTTGAACTCAAAGTTTTTACATTTTTTGGTTACTAAACAGCTAAATAAGGTAAAACAGAGCAATTAATGCTTTGAGCTCAAAATTTAGAAAATTTTTCATTCAAAGTTTTGTAATCTTACGGTTTTTTAAGTGTTAATTTGATCAATTTGGACCAAATAGCGCTCGCTGAATTATTTTATCAGCACGTAAACTAACACTGAAACCCTATAGTATCATAATCATGATAGTGTTTCTGTGCTCCGCTGAACGCATGGTCCACATTGAATAACTTGGTTCTTATCGTTTATTCGGGCTAAAAGCAAGCTTCTTAGAAACTAAAAAACCTTATTGACCAGTTCATAATTGAGTTTCAATTTGATGTTTCATTAAACCGACTAGACTATTAAAAAAATCGCATGTTCCAAGTTACACACACAGTTTATAACAGTTTAACGTATATTTTCTGACTGAAATACAATATTGACAGTCATTTCATGCTACATGCAAGTCATAAAAAAATCAAAATTTTTTAGCTCTTTTGCTTGGAATAATGTCTGTTCAATTTTTGTGCCGTCTCATAATATCTGGAAAAAAACTTATTATAGTCAAATATTATTTAAGTTATTCAGGGTCTTTTAAAATCATTAAAAGACTGCCCATTTTTATTTCGCATTAACAAAGATACTGGCATAAATTATTTTTCGCAAGTTGACCAAAATGGCAACTTTCAAACGCCACAACTTTACAAAAAAAACAGTAGCAAGTGATGTTTTTTCTAATGTTGAAATGAAGACCTGAGTAATTTGCAGACTTGACAAAAAAATCCGCCTCAAGAAGTCAAAGTCGGTCTGAATCATGGGAAATTTTTTTGTTTTGGGGGGGGGGGGGGGGGAGGGGAGGGGGACTCAAAAGGTCTCCCATGTGTACTGTTTTGAAATATCCATTTTTAGTCACAGACCCTAAAAGTTTTCTTAAGGCGCCCTCGGTGACGGACCCTAAAAGTTTTCTAAAGGCGCCAAAGAGTATTAAGTTTGAGGGGAGAGCGCGCGTCAAAATTTTCCAGAAAGTGCCTAAAAACGCCTATTTTGGCCTGTTTTTTCAAAATTTTGCTTGGTGTGATCAAACCAGGGACTTTTTATTGCTTTGGAAGAGCTTAGAAAATCAATTTGATCGACTTATAAAAATCGACAAATTTTTATAAAAATCCCCCCTCCCCTCGAGAAAATCCTCGATCCGCCCTGGTCTGAATAAAAAAAACTCAAGCTGAAATCGAAATTTTGTAAAGCTGTTCAGCTACTTCCAGTGCTGAATCATTGAGTCATTGTTGGAAAAGAGCTGATCTTTCTCAATTTTATTTCAGAGATAATGCCGAGCCTAAAAAGTCACGTTCATACTGTTATTCAAACTTGCTATCTCTAGCTAACCCAATTTTGTTATAAAATTGTTTGCTCTAGAGACCCAGCTCCTATGTTTACATTTCTGAGATCCTTTCAATTATTGTTCCGACTTTCGTACCGAAATTAACGGAATATTTGTGCTCGGGTGGGTTTTTTTTCTTTAGACAAATTTCGACTCTTTAACAAGCCATTTTTGACAGAGTTTTTTTATATCATTCGAAAGGTATTGTTGCCCTGAGTTTAAATTTGAAAAGATATTTCACCTGTCATCATTTTTCTTGAAGTTATGAGGGTTTAAAGGTTGCCATTACGGCCATTTTGAACAATATGGGACAATTATTTCGCGCTATTAACGCGTAAGCGGAGATTTAATCCGTCTTAGAAATCGTTCCAAATTGGTTGAAAGAAGCTTATTCGCCATAATTTATTTGTTGCAAGGAGCGAAATCTATTGTTTTGTACTTTATATGGCGTGTGGGGGGATGATTTGCAAAGAAAAATTTTCCATTTTTAGAAAAAAAAGTTTTTCATTTTATTTTATTTCCTTTGATTTTTTTATGTTATTACTGCTCCATAAACCTTAAAAAGCAATCGGATTATACAGGGTTTCGCCCTGATACGAGCAGTCTTGTTTCGCTTTTTGGTACAATAATGAACTAATTCCACGGCCAAGCACATGTGAATTTTGTACCTAGAAACGAATCCCCCCAGGGAAAAAATTTAAGAGATCCCATTTATGTTAGATGAGCATTCACTAAAATCAATGCGAAAGAACGAAAGTGAAATTGTGAAAGTTGCGCTTCTCCATTCCTACAACGGATCTTTCATACTGCTGTTTTGTAATTTTTTCCAGGAATCACAACAATCAGATAGTTCAAAGACAAAAAAACTGTGGTGATTATAACGGTAAATAGTCAGGTATTGTTTTTTTGGTATCATAAAAACTAATCCGGCTTGTTGTATGAGTTTAGCAGTATATACAAGAGTAAGCTATGGTGACTATCACAAAAAGCTCCTGTCAGAGTTATTATTTTTGACAGATCTTACAAAATTAGTTTTAAAAACTTTTTACTAAACACTGTTTTGCTTATTTTACGCCGAGTAGAAAAAGAGAACTAGCTTCTAACAATAGGTAGTAATGGCTATCATAAGATAGAAACTATAAAAATTAGATGGAGAGATTTTATAGGTTCATTCAATTGCGGATTTAGGGGGGAAGGGCGTTTCGACCGGCTGCTGACCCAAAGGGTCCCCCTTTGTACCATTTTGAGATACCCATTTTTGGCTGACCGACTTTTAAATTTTTCTTAACTTCGGCGCCAATATATACAAATATTGAGGTAGGAGCGCGCTCCAAAAAAAACGCGATTTTTTGGTTCAAGTTTTCAAAATAGTTTCTAAAAACGCTTTTTATGGCCTGTTAATAAAAAAATTGCTTGCCGCGCAGAAAATTTTGTCAAAATATCAAAGGTCTTATAAGGATTTGGGAGAGATCAGAGATTCAATTTGCTCGACTAAAGCAAAGGTCGACAAAATTCACCATTAAATCAATGGCTTTTTTGCAATGTGCTCTGCACGTTTCTTCAAGCGTCTGGCATTGAATTATCAGCACAGATTGTAGACAAAAGGTTCTTTTGAAAACCATCCTAGCGCGAAAAATTGAACAGCCGCCTTTTTCATCAAATGAACGCAGGCAGAAATAATTCACCATTTGAGTGGACGGCCTGTCTCAGTTGACAGCGTGAAGAGAGTGCCAATTTAATCCACTTTCAAACATATATAGATACTTTCATAAATCACTCTTTGTTCCCAAAATGCGGTCAGTTTAATTAGAAAAGGAAGGAAGAAAGCGACATTTTTGCGATAAAATGGTATTTATTTCGATGCAATACTTTCACGGTGACGTAATATTGATTACATGGTACATAATGGAATAAGCAGAGACAAATTATTATTGAAACAACAAGACTGCTCGTATATCAGGGCAAAATCCTGAATGTTCCGACGGTTCCTTAATTTATATCGAATAGTTTTTGGGAAAAGAAAATATTGAAAACCTGTACATTTTGGACAATATCAATGCGTAAAATTTTGAGTCGTACGAAATTAATACGACCAATTAGCTATAGCCTCAATTCATTTTGCAACAATTTTGTTGTGCGGGATAATTCGCCACGCATAAATAACTCGCACTACGCTCACAGCATTATGGATAAACTCTTCAAAGCGCGCATAATTTACTCCAGAACATCGCAAGTTTTGCAACTTTCAAACCCTCAGAACTTTACAAAAAGTTATCGGAGGTGAAATAGTTTTTTTCACATTTGAGCTCAGAAATTCGATATCTTCAATGGATATAAAAAAATTTTGTTGAAAATTATTATTTCGATCGGTGAAAATTGACTGAACAAAAAAAACCACACCGAGCATAAATATTCCGTTTTTTTTCGAAAGTGGGAACAACAAGGTTGCGCGTATATCAGGGCGAAACCATGAATGTTCCGATTGCACTTAAGGCCAACTTAAATGTTTTTTTTTGGTTGAATATTTGACAAAATAATTGAGAACAAAATGAAAAAAAAAGTTCATTTGTCATCATATCATCCCTCCACACGCTAAGTAAAGTACTGAGGGTGTGTTTAGCGTCTCGTTATGTGTTAATAGGATTAAACTGCTGGCCTCAAATCAATTTGGAACGCATTAATCCGCCGCTAACGCGTGTTATAAGAACGCAATATATCGCGCGTTAATTGTCCCGAATTAACCAAATTAGCAGTTTTCAAACGCCGGTAACTTTACTAAAAATGATCACAGGTAAAATATTTTTTAATATTTGAGCTCAAAGCTACAATATCTTTCAAATTGCATAAAAAATTCTTTCAAAAGCCCTGAGTTAACTAGTCGAAAATCAGTCATCCCTTTGGTACTTTTTGCGAAATTCATTTTTGGCCGACCGATCCTAAAAATTTTCTAAAGGCGCCTTTGGCGCCTATATACCAATTTTGAGCGCGCGCTAAAAAAACGCAATTTTTTGTCAACATATTCCAAAAAGTGCCCAAAAACTGCTTTTTGACCTGTTTTTTTTTTCAGAAATTTGCACCGCGGCGAAAAAAATTTGGCCAAAACAGCGTTTTTTAGTGCTTTAGGAAAGCTCGGAAAATCATTTTGATCGACCTAAAAATAAGTCATCAAAATTTTTGATTTTTTTTGAAAATCTGACCACCCCCCTCGAAAAAATCCTAGAGCCGCCCTTGCTGCAAATGCCAAAAAACTTCGAGCTTGCATTTTTGTTGCAAAACTTCTTTTAATTTTTTCTATTGTTTGGCATAATTGCAGGTCAAACAGATAATTTATTTAACTATGTTAAGAAAAAAAACGAGCTAAAATAGTTTTCTGTTTTTTCTTCAATTTTTTTCTCAATTGCAATTGGTCCAGTCATCTTGAAAATTTTGCCACACTTTTGAAGATTCTTGAAGATTTATCAAAGATATCAAAGAATTTTTAAAATCTACATAAAACTACATAAAAACATCCTAAGAAACAATGTAGGATGGCTCCGGCGAGGAGATTTATTTTTGGTGCATTCTTGAAAAGATCTTCAAAGTTCTTCAAAATTTTTCGAAGAATCTTCAAGGTCTTCAAAGATACCCAAGAAACGTTCAAAAAACAATTTTCTAAAACATTTCTTAGCAAATTTCTGAGCAAACATATTTCGTAAACTCATTTGACCTTGTTATAATCATGATTAGCCTAATTTGTAACTGTTTCACAATTGAGTGTTAATTTTTTTTCCGAAAGTTTTAGATTAATGGTCAATAAGAAGACCAATTTTTTTGAAATCCTGGAAAACTTCAAGAGAAAATCGACTACGTTCTTCATAAATTGTCAAAATCTTTTTTAAATTTCGTTGCTATGTTTGTTTTTTTTCCTCAAGATTCTTTGAATTTTCTTGCAAAATTGTTGGTATCTTGCAGGATTCTTTGACAAGAACTTACCAAGACAGCCAAGGTTTTACAAAAGATTTAACCATGACTCTCCGAGAATTTTTCAAAGAAATCAAAAATTGATGGTCTTGGGAAAGCATAATTGTAAGTGGCAGAACAAAACAAGAGTTATTTAACCATGCTTCAAAATTAAATGAGTTTTTGACGTCTAGCGTGGCTGTAGATAATACGCAGAATGAGACGCCGATAAAGCATATAAGCCCAAACAAATAAAGCATAAAGCCCAAAAGCATTGGTGATTTTTTGTTGGAGCTTGGATGAAGATGAAGCCTGAAATATTTAAATATTATATGATCAAGTTGATATAAAAAACGTCGATTCTGCGAGAAAAGCTGTCGATTCAGTTTTAAAAAAACGCTATTTCGAGGTTTGTCATCATTCGTGCTCATTGCCTGCGGGTGAGACGACAAGTGTCAACCCAAAAAAAATATCCAAAAAATTGCATGCGTTTTAGGCCAATTTTCATCAGCGGGGCTCAGCATAATTTCTTTTTTTTTCTTGTAGATAAATGATATTGATGAAAATGTATTTTTTGAATGCGTGAATTTAATTTACATATTTTATTTCAGATGTCACAAGTGGCCCTTGATTCGTCCCCCACTGGGGGTGGGGGCGTGGCTTGCGGGGTTGACTTCCGGGGGAGGGGTCCCTCTTTCAGTTCCATATACTCCATCTTAGCACGAAGTGCGTCCTCCTTAGTTGACGCGCTAACCCTTTCCCCTCACGAGACAAACTCGACACACAACTCACTGGAGTCTTCGTCCCATCGGAGTCGCAAGTCCGCTTCTCAGTCGGAGAGTGTGAAATATGCTGTTCCGAATGAGCCTTGTGTGCCGATATTTGTGAAAACTTGCGTGAGCTGGATCAAGCAACACGACGGTAAGCGTTTTGTTATTTTTTAAATCGTTTTTATTGTTCTGAGATCTGCTCTGATATCTGCAGATTATAGTTAATCCCAAGCTGTTAGTGAAATAAATCGGCTCAGAAATCATTCCAAATAGAACTGAGAGCAGCTAGCCGATCCAAATATTGTACCAATAGACGCAAACTTATCACCTTGCGGACTAACATTGAGTGCGGGAAAAAATTTTCAAAAAAAAACATTTGATGAAATTTTTTCTCCGAAAGTTGCTTCAGACTTGCCAAACAACAGTCGGACATTCAGGGCTTTGCATACTTTTTACAAGCAGAAATGAGTGAAAACTTGTTATCCGAAGTCAAAAAATGAAATCTTACATTAACTAAACTCGTTCATATTCGTTGATCGAAACAGATATTACCAACAATTTGCCAACAATTATATATTTTCTATCCATTTTTTTAAGCCTCACTTCACTTTTCTTTGATGATTGAATCTTTTGTTCAAGAAAAAAAAACATTTTCTTGACATTGCTATTAACAAAAAAATTAAATTTGGCATCAGTAGCGGATTTAGGGGGAAGAGGGTGGACATCCTTTTCCTTTCAAGGACTTTACATGCAATCATCCGAAGCACCAGCGAATTCAGGGAGGGGGTGCGCCGAAAAAACGCTTTTTTTGTCAAATTTTTCCAAAATTTTTCTAAAAACGCTTTTTTTGACCTGTTTTTCAAAATTTTTTCTGCGGCGCAGAAAATTTGGTCAAAATGGCGTCTTTATAGTGATTTAGGAGAGCTCAGGTAATCAACTTTTATCGACCTAAAAAAAGGTCGACAAAATTTTTTGAAAATCCGCCGCCCCTCCCCTCGAGAAAACTCTAGATCCGCCCCTGATCCGAAGTGCCCTATTTTTGGCACTTCTTTCAGGCACCCCAATGTTTTTCTACAGGCGCCATGGGAATTAATATAAACTAATTTTTGAGAAAATGTTGTTTTGTATTTCAGGTTTGAAAACACTGGGAATATTCAGGATAGCGGGATCTCAGAAACGCATCAAAAATGTAAGGTTTTTGTCTTCTCTAAAAAACAACCAAAATCACAAATTCGCTAAATTTGCACCTAAAGTGGTCTAGACATTGCTCCAAGCTCCAAACACTGATTTATCTTCGGTTCTTCACCTTTTTTCCTGAGAACTCTTAATAGTAAAATGTTTGTTCGCATTAATTGATTGTTATAAAAACTCAAATGCGGACTGGTTCTGCCATGGGAAGCAAATTTGGCCCTGCTAACTTGCATACACGCGTACACATCTAAAACCACTTGTTACCCCATAAAATTGATATTTAGTTAAGTCGTTGGCTAAACTTTCTTTCCGACCAAGTTTCTCAACCACAAATTCCTGTATAATAGATGCCCGACCTCAATAGCGATCGTTAATTTTTTATCTGACTAATTTTTTTTGAGTAGATCATTTTTTGAGAATCAAATGAAAGTAGTTAAGACTCTGATATTGTTCGTGATTTTTAAAATTAATTGGCTCTTTTTCCTTTTCCCCGACTGCAAATTCTTCAACGTAATTGTTCTGTTCCCGTTGACCGAGGGTTATAAAATTTGGCATACGGACTAATTAGTCTATGGCAAGTATACTGATTCTTCATACTTACCCTAATGAAACCACTCGTTACATCTTAAAATTGATGCTTATGTGAGGTGAGGGAAAGGAAAATGAGCTTTTCTGGGAAAAAATTTAAAATTCGTTCACGCTGATGTTAGATTTTTGGTGGTTTGACTTCCGTTTTTTATAAATTCAGTTCATCTCATTTGTTAAAAGGAAGGCAAAAATAACTTTCGAAGAGTAAAAAAGCAAAATTTTGAAAGTGGATTTTAATTTTTAGACTTCCCAGTGGAATAAAAATTGTATGTATTGATTCAGTTTCTTCAAATAATTGGGTTAGTTTTTTAAAAACTCAATCAAAAAATTTTCTTAAAATCCAGAACGTTTTCAAGTTACATTTTTCTTCTTCGAAACTCAAAACTTGAAAGGTTTCTTCGAAACTCCTTGCTTTTTCTTTGACTTGCGTCTCCTTGCTTTCATTGACTTGCGTCTGCTGACTCTGTTTTTAAAGTTAATGAAAACCCTAAGAACACTTAATTAGGTCGGGTTGTTTCAGTTCAAAATTTTTTATCCTACTCGATTTTGATTCAAAATCAATTGCTAAAAGGTGAGCAACTTCTGCTCTCAAACTACCAAAAAGTTGATGCAAAAGACGCAAACGACTTCTAGTTTCGAAAGGAGTTATTTTTTTTGAGATTTCGATTTACTTTTTTGGAACTCCAGCAGAATCAAAGTTATTCCCTAAGTTAGCTACCTTGATCAAAAAAGTAGCACCTAGAAATCATTCTACAAGTTGAACAAAGCTTAAGGTCCATAATCATTTTATTTGAAACTGAAAGTTTTGTACCTTGAAATTATTTGTACCTTGAAATTACCTAGAAAATTTATTCGACGTGAGTAATTTTGAGACTGAATAAAATTTGCAATAAAAATAATTTATATCTTTTTATTATATTTTTCGAAAAAAAGCAATTATTTTTTTTCCTTCTCACTCCTGGTTTATTCCCAGATTGCAGCAAAAATTTTTTTATGTTGTTCTTAATTTTACAAAAAAAATACTGCTCAAGTTTATTCATCGTCATTCACAGCGTCAACAGTTATTTTAAATAGGCGTTGACAAAGGTATTTTCTGAAACAATCGTAAGGGGATTGAAAAAACAAAGGTCAGATACGAAGACCAAAAATGGGTGAGATATTACAACTGGTGGTAGGTTCAATTTCAATAACTAGATCGTTTTTTGTTAAATTTCGCACAATATTTGTAAGCTTTTTCAAAAGCTAAGTTTTTTTGGCAAAAGCAATAAAAAATTTGAATTTTTGAATAGCATTGCATTTGACAGAGTAATGTATTTACAAAAACTATCTCAGTAGTGGTACAATGTATTGAAAATGAATTGACTATATTATGTATCATAGTTCTCAAAATTAATACTTGCACTATACTCAAAATTACCACCTATTGTAACATATGACCCAAAAATATTTAAAATAGCCTAATATTTATGTATTTTGTCTGACATTGTGAGGCAAAGTTTTTCAAGATAAAATTGAGAAGTAAAAAGAAAATAAAAAATAACCAAATACTTTGAACAACAACTAATCTTGCTTAATTGGAATGCACATCTTCCGAGATGAACACAAAGACGCAAACCTATGCAAGAATGCTCCAACTAAAAAAAAAGATTAATAATGTAATTTCTTGCAAGATTTCCTGAAAGATTTGGACTCCGAGAACTCGCAGGATGACATTGTTGGTGGTATATGAACAAGTCGAAGTATAAGCCCCAGCCGAAAATGCATAAGTCTTATATAATTGTTATGCAACAATTATATAACATTTAGCAAATCTACGCAAATTTCATCATGATGTAACTTTTCGGCTAGCTTATATACTCTGCGCATTTTCGATTGTTTAATACTTCGGCTGGTTTTTTATATACCGTCAACAATGTCACCCTCCGAGTCATTTTAAACAGGCGTTGATAAATGTATTTTCTGAAACGACCGTAGGGGGATTGAACAACGACGATTAGATATGAAGACCAAAAATGGGTGATATTTTTTTATAGATAAATATATTTTCTGAACTACATTTTCTGAAAAATGTTTTTTTTTCTGAAAAATGTATTTTCTGAACTAATCTTGCCTAATTCTTGAGTATGGAATGCACATCTTCCGAGATGAACGCAAAGACGCAGACCCTTGCAAGAATGCTGCAACTAAAAAAAGATTAATTATGTATTCTCCAACAAACTTTATTATTCTTTTTTATTTACCTCCGACATTGTTTTGTTTCAGTTGCGCGAGTGCTTCGACACTCTAGGGGACACACATTGGCCCAATGAGGAGAGTGCGACTGTTCATGATGTGGCGGCACTTTTGAAGTCATTTCTGAGGGAGCTGCCAGAGGGACTACTGAGTCGAGAACTCTACCACCCCCTCATAGCCACGACAAGTAACAAAAAGTTTTATTCAGGCGCAAAATATGCAGAAGATTACTATTAATAGTTCATTACGAGGCCAAACTGTGCATTCTTTGCATTGTAAGCGGGATCCGCAGCAGGCAAAAATCAGATTCGTCGCGGAATCCGCAACATTGCTACTTTTCTTTGATCTTCATTGCTGTTTTGGATTCCACAAACAAATCCCTAAAACATTGTACCGCTCAAAATCGCTCCAAAAATAGGCAAATTTGCGGAATCCGCAATTGTATTTTAACTCATTGATAGTGAACTTCTGCATATTTCAAGTTAAAATATGCAGAAGTTCACTATTAATGAGTTAAATTATGCAGGAGTTCACTTACAAGGATTTTGAAAACAGACTTTTCAGCAATTCAAAATCAGATTTGGCGTTTAATTTTTTCACATTATGTTCAATTTTAGCAAAATGTGTTCTGAGAGTAATTCAAGTGGTTTCCAAGTTCTGATCATGCTCTCAAGAATCGCTTTTGAAAATCATAAGTTCAAACAATTCCTAGTCAAAAATTCATCTTTAGACTTGTGCAATTTGATCGATAAAATTTTTCATTTGAGATTTTTCAACTATAGTGTTAATTGTTAATCGAGCTGTTGTCAAGCCTCTTTTGTTAAAACTTGAATATTTTTAATGTTAACTAGAACATGATCAAGTCACTGATATCTTGAAAGGTTTTTTAGCAAGGTTTTTTTTTATTTATTCGTAATTTTGGTTCAACAAAATTTTGAAAAACTCAAAGTTTTTGGTCATCGTTAAAACGATGGATTGAATTTTGTTTGTATTTTTGAACAGTTTACTTGTAATTTGGCTAGAGTTTTTAAATTGGGTTTAATTTTGGTTTGCAATCACATTTTGCATGCTACCATAGCTAAGCGCGGGATATAATTGGATCATTAAGTATAAGCAAGACTGCTCTTATCTGGGCGAGAAGCCCTATTTTTCCGACTACTTTTTAAGGTCAATGGAGCAGTAATAACGAGAAAAAATCAAATATAACAAATTAAAACGAAAATTTTTATTAAAATTTAAGATTTTTTATGAAAATCATCCCCCCACAGGCCAATTAAAGTACAAAGTGATAAATTTCGCTCCTAGTAACAAACAAATTATGGCAAATAAGCTTCCTTCAACCAATTTTGACCAATTTTATGAGAAACATCCGCTTACGCGTTAAAAGCCCGAAATATATCACGCGTTAAATGTCCCAAAATTGCCAAATGGCAATCTTTAAACTCCTATAACTTTACAAAAAACGATCACAGATGAAATATCTTTTTAGAAATTTTTTTGAAGATTCCTTTAAAATGGCTAGTTACAAAGCAACCTGAGCACAAGTATTTTTTGTTACTTTCCTTTCGAAAGTCGGAACAATAACAAAAACAAAGTGCTGCTATCAGGTCAAAACCTTGAATATTTCATTCGCGTTAATAGCACAAATTATCTATCGCGTTGATTAACCCAAATGATCAATTTCTGAATCCCATAATTTAAGAAAACTTGATCAAGTGTGAAATATATTTTTAATCTTGAGCTCAGGGCGAGCATACTTTTCTAATTGTATATTAAACTTCCGTGAAAAATATTAGTTAAAAATTCGATTTTTCTCTGGAGAAAAATTACCCCAAGCACAAATAGATATATTTCCTCACTTTCTTCGGAAGTCGGAACAACAAAAAAAAACATTTTTTTGTTCAAATTCATACTTTCAAATTCTGTTGCAAACGAAAAAGGATGTTTTCATTTTATTTCATTTAATTTTCATTTTAAAGATGTTAAAAGGGACGCTGATAAACAAAGGGTCAAATACAAAAAAAAATATTTACATATTCACAATGACAATGTGTGGGTTTACTTTGATAGCGTAAGGATAAAACACGTTCAAATTGGAGTTCAAGTAGGCAAACAATGTTGCTTGCATCAAGGTGAAGCTCTGAATAATCCGAATGCCCTTCAACATTTTTGAAACAATTTTTTGAAAATATCAAAAGAAAAAAACTTAATTTTGTTTTTGGATTTTTGTTTTGAAAATTTTCCCCCACACAGATGCCAAGTCAGAAGGAATGCTTTTAGCGTTTATTATTGTACCATTAATATCAAACAACTTGCTTCAATTCAATTTTGAAAGATTTATGAGCTGTTGAAAGAGCCGTTCACGCGTGTTAAATTTCAAAATTGGCCAAAATTTCAAACCCCCATATCTTTCCAAATTACCAACTTTCAAACCCCCGTTATTTTTAAAAGATTTTTTTTGCAGGTGAATTACCTTGTTTCAATTTGAGCTCAAAACATGAATGGCTCCCAGATTATATAAAATTCGGCTCAGAAATGGCTAGTTAGAGAGGTGAAATCGACCTGGAGAAAAACTACCCAGCAAAACTTTTCTGCCGGAACAAAAAGACATTCCAAATATAGTTGAGTGACAGCCTTTTTTGAAATTGATTTTAAACATGTCTATTTCTTGTTATAAAAAGTTTCAATGTTTATGCTCGGTGTGAGATTCTTTCTACTAGTTTCTGTTTTGTAACTAGCCCTGAGCGGAGCTGGAGAATAAAATTACAATTTATTTTAATTGCGAACTAGCCTCGTAAAAGTGACGGTTTTGATTTTATCCAATTTGGAATAATTAACTTAAGACCGGTTGCAAAGACCGCAAAAGATTTAGCTCAGAATTGATACAAAATTGAAATTATCCAAAAATTTTGCTGGTAGATTTTGATTTTACATTTTTGAATTTGATATAACGCTTGGCTGATTTTCAAAAGTACGAAAAAATCATTTAAAAAATTTTTTTTTGTATGTTTCTTGTGTTTAAGAATCGATAAAATCCTAAAAATTGGCAACGTTTACTTTTTTGCGGTTCAAATTTTGATTTCTTTTAAAGTTCAGTTCATCGCAGTTTCTTCGCTTCCATTATCAAACAGCAAAAGTGTAAGGATCACGAAAAACATTATCATTCTCTAGTTTCGCAAAGGGAAATGAGTCTTGTGCGAAGTGAGAAATATTACCTTTGATCCATTTTTCTTGTTATGGACTAATTTTATCAAAAAAGTCAATCATGAATTGTTTAGGAAACTCTAAGCAGTCTAGTGTGAGGATAACAGATGTTTCGGTCTTCTAAATTAATTACCGGATTTTACACCTCTCTGAAAATATTGTTATTTTGTACCTGAAAAAAAAAGTTTTGTGCCTGCACTTAATTTTAAAAAGTTCATTGTGGCCTTGAAATAAGCAATTTAGGAGTTTTTGAACTATTTTATGCCCTCTTTTTACGAATTTTTTCAATTAACACGCCTTTTGTTTTCTTCTATGCATGCCCATCGTGCAGACGGCCAGTTCAATTACTCGGCCTCAAAATGATACAAAACTGAATTCGTACAAACTAATTAGCTTGAACAATAGGGTGATAGACAAATTTTTCTTAGCAGATAGAAAAAAAATAAATTTGTTATTGCATTGCTAAAAGTATTGTTTTATTATTAAAAAAGCAAAATGGCTCTTTTCTTTTTAATCAATATTTCAAATTTTCTATTGTTAACAGCAAAAGTGTAAAGGTCACAAAAATTTGATCGGTTTCTAGTTTCGAAAGTAAAATAAAAGTTTTATTTATTTCTCCAGTTTTCTCTCTCATTTTTTTTGAAAATTTCATCAGTTTTTTGAAAGCGACCACTTCATCATAGACCCTAAAAAGCAGTCGAAACTTTCAGGGCTTTGCCTAATATAAGCAGTCTTGTTCAAACTTGAAATTCAACTGTCAGGGAAAGTGTAACAGAGCCTGCAAAGTTAGTCATTTACGCCGGTGCCAAACTTCAGCTAGTTTTTTATAGCCCTTAACCAATTTTTGTACCACAATTCACAAGTCCTCACACAATTCACAAGTCCTCAAGATTTTTTGCAAAGATAGGTGATATATAGAGTGGTCATCTGCAAATATTAATTAACTTAATTGGTTGAAATAAAAAAATAACTTCCCCAAAACTGCATTTATATTATAGTTCTTTAACTTCAAATAAATGCATATTACAGGTCAATGATTTTGTGCCCTTGTTCTATCTTGATGAATTTTAAATTTCTCTTGCATAAATTAAGTAGAGCTGAGCGGTACGAGAACCGAAATTAGCAATAATTAAAATGATAAAACCTCTTTAAATCGATTTGTTAAATTGCATTTTTTTGCATAAGTTAAGTGAATACAGCTGGCCGATTTGAGAATTAAAATAGCGATAAGTAAATTATATTAAAACGGCTTAGCAATGGCGCCTCTGGGTCTTACCATTTGACATCAAGCTAATGATTTTGTCTTTTTTGCTGCTTTCATTACATTAACGTCATCATGCCTTTTCTCTACACTCATTTCCCTTTGTTTTTGGTAATTTAATTTACTTTTTCCTCATTTAAATCTCCTGATCAATTTCCTGTGTCACACAAATACTGCTAAACTTCATGCACTGAGCAACGAAAACAAAAAAAAATACAATTTGTCGGAAGTAAAGCATATATTGTACAATTCAGAAATCTGTTTACTCGAACCGAAAATGCGTCACACGAAATAAACTTTAAAAACCAGAGGGGAAATATTTTGTAACTACAAAAAACTGATTCAAAATCTATCAAATTCTGAGGGCAGAATGACAATAAAGATTAGCCAGCGGCTAAAAAGATCAGTGATCCAAACATTGATGTAATAGATTATTCTGAAGAAGATGAATTGTATCTAATTTTTCACAATGACCGACGTTGAAGTGGCCGACAAAAACAGACGTCGCTGCTATGTATGTATTGTGTATTTTGATTGTCAATAAACATAGTGAACTTAATTTATGAGGTCATGTGCTTTTGTAGGACAAAAACTTTCAACAGTCAAATTTAGATTTAATAGCCTCCGTTTTTGCTTTTTGCCCAATTTTTCAATAACAGTGAGGAATTTATGCTCAGTTTGGTTTTTGTGGGAATATTTGTGATCAAATAACAATTTTGCTCCATTTCGAAAAAAGTGACGAAAGATTTTTGCTCTGAGTGGTTTTTTCTCAAGAAAAACTTTGACTTTTATCTGGCAAATTTTGGCAAAATGCTTTTATATCATCCGAAAGATGGTGTTGCCCTGAGCTCAAAATTAATGAAGTGTTTGTTTCACATGTGAATATTTCTGTCAAGTTATGGGGGTTTATTGGGAATGTAATTTGATTTGAAATTTTGTTAAAAAATTGGACGTTAACAATTTTGCCAAACCGAAATCGCGAAAAACGGTTATAAAAATTTTGTTTTACTCGTTTCATCAGTTCAGCTCAAACTGCAGTGAGCCTTCAATACAAACTGCGAAAACCGTGAACAAAAACCAATCAAACTTGATGAAATATATCATCAGAATTGGGCAAATTTTTGCTTTTGTAGCTTTTTGCAAAAATTGGCTCCCATAACTTAAATATTAGTGAAATCAAAAAATGAAATCATGAATAACGTTTTTTGAAAACACCCTGTTTTTAAAATTTTGCTTCATGCAAAGTATGTTACTTTGTACTTAACAATGCGCGTAGGGGGATGATTTTAAAACTAAAACCTCAAAACAAAATTTTTTTTCTTTTTTTATTAGAAAATTTCATCAATCCTTTATATTAAATGAATGAAATCAATTCACAAAAAAGTCTAATGTTCAAGATGCTGTTGAGCGCAACAATCGAAAAACTCGTATCAGCCAAGCTGTGCAAAAACATTCTGGAACTCTGAAGCCATGGCTCTCAGTGTTCTGTCATACTGAACGTTTGCTTAATGGCTAAAAATATCCGATGAACTTAGTAAAAGTAACTGGGAAATAGTTATGTCTCCGTAGCGCAGTGGATAGCGCGCAGGAATATTCTATCAAAAAGTATGGGTCTGAATCCCGCCGGAGATGAGTTTTCGTGGAAATAACTATCAGAACTGTACCATGTTTCCTTCTCAATTTGTATATGTATGATATTATATGTGTATGTTTTATAATTTCATAATGTGTTTTATTATCGGGTGTTTGGCTTGTTCTACTCCCATTGCTCAGAATAGCTTGCAAAGAAAAAATTTAAATTTCGCGAACCGATTCTTTGCGAGTAAGAACTCAAATAGCGGGCTAAAAAGTATCGATTCATTCCAGGAAGTAGTTTGAAGTATTTCCGAGTTTTCCTGCCTGAAAAACCTTAATATAATTCTAATTTTTTGTTCAATTCACTCCTTGAAATATCCTGCATTTATTTCTCAGATTACTTGCTCTTAAAGCTTGCGTAAAAAAACCTGAAATTTTGCATATCGAAACGTTAAATGCAGTAGTTTGAAAAGTTTCTACATTACATCGTTTAAAAAAATTGCTTCAAAAAGCTAATTATTCTGTGACATGGTTCGCTCTAAAATTCATATTGAACATTTTCACAGTTTCATCGCTTCATCGCAAGATTAGTTTGCTAAAACACCTAAAACACATTTTTTGTCCACCGAATTATGCTAAAAAGTAATTGGAAATTATTCAAGGGTCATAATGCTTGAACAGCTCGCATGGAGCATTTCTAACATGAGCGATTCAATTTACGTTTTGATTTAATATCATATGTTTTGAAAATTTAAACGCTTGATTATCTTGCTTAGGAAAACTTATTATTCGCCAATCGACTTATGGTTTTGAATAACTTCAAAATTTTCAGTTTTTAATTGCTTGAATGGCCAGCTTGCAAAAACTTAGATTTTTTCCGTACCATTTCTTACTGTAAAATAACTTGACATATTTCAAATTTTCATCGCTTTAATAGTTTTTTAAAAAAATCTTACACCTTTTCAAACAAATTCCTTCTAATAAATGAATATATCCGAATTTCTATTGCTTGAACAGTCTACCCAGATTAACTAACTTTTTGCGAGCCTGAATAATATTGGAGACGAGCTTGCTATTAGTTTTTAACGAGCACTACTCCTTTGACCTCAAAGACTAGTCGGAACGTTCAGGGCGCTAAAGCGTCTAAATTGCATATTTTCTCACTGAAAATTTTTAAGTGTCACTTAAAATTGTAAACGTTCGCCGTTTATTTTTTGATTGCCGCACATAATATGTTGAAATTTGTTCATGTTTTCGGCACTGTTGAACAACGTTTTAATTTTCGGCACTGTCGAACTAATTTTTTTCCCGGCACTTTTGTACTTCGGCACTGTTGTACTTCGGCACTGTTGTACTTCGGCACTGTTGTACTTCGGCACTGTTGTACTTCGGCACTGTTGTACTGCCCCGAGCTGTTCAAGCAATATGTCCCTCGAACATTTTCCAATTGTTTCTTAGCATAAATTCTTTGGTAAAAATGGTCACTGTTTTTTGGCAAACTAATTTTACTAGTCTTAATAATACTATCTGATATATATTCATGCCTTGAGCTCAATATGAAAAATAATTTAACCTGCAATCATTTTTTGTAATGTTATGGGTACTCAAATTGTGCCAATTCAACCAGATTGGTATAATTTGTGCCCACAAAATTTTAAATTTGTTAAGGCGTAGCATAGGTGCCAAAATAATCACAATACGTACGTGCTCACAAATCATTTTGAATTGAACTGAGGTGAGCTAGTTGGTTGGATTTTTGCGTTGCTAGGCACAAAATCTACCATTGTGTTTTTTCATGACGGTAAAAATTAAAAAAAGATGAAAATCGATATCAATTTTTGCCAAATGATACATCAGACGCATTAAAGGGCAGTTGGCTCATTCAAATTTCTGCCGAAAAAGTGACGGAAAAGGCTTTTTTGGTGTTTTTCTCCGCAAAAATGACGGCTTTTCAAAAAATGTTTAAGAAAGTTTGAAGTAATTCTACTATATACTATATTCTAGTTTGAAGCTTTGAGTTATAATTTTTTAAATCATTTTAACCCTGCAATTGTTTTTGATAAGAGATTGTCGTTCGAAATTGGTCAATTTCGGATAAATAATGCGTGATGAACGGGCAGCTCCACCGGCGAAATAGTTCGGCTCAGACATATGACCAAATTGAAATGACCACCCTGCAAACTGAGTGGCCAAACGCTCAATGCAGAAATTTTACCAAAAACAGTCTCGGATACTTTATAGGGAAGTCCTATTTTCAAGGTTTCAGCCTAATGCGAGCAATGAGCTGTCTCCAGTTTTATTTAAGTTCAAGTTATTTTAAATTCCTAAAAGTAAACGAAGTTCTGGTCTCTAATAACAGGGGCATAAAAATTGGACGAGTTTTAATTTAAAAATTTTATTTTCACTCATATTGGCCTGATATGACCGTAGTTTTGTTGTTCTCTAAGTTTTTTTTCTACTATAAAAAATTACAGAAATTAGGGTATAAGAAAGAGAGGCGGGTATGGGGTGAGGCGTTAATCTTTTCGGGGTTTTTAACGGCACTTTTGGCACCAGCAGCTATGCTAAATTTGTTGTGAAGCGTACGTCAACAAATCCATTTTTTTGCCAAAAACCTTCGAAAACCGGTCAAAAGCTGCGAAGATTTTTTTGACAAAAAAAGTCCTTATATTGTTCTGAAAGAGCTCAAATACAAATTTTGCCGGCTTTATCTGCACCCCAACTTCAAGAAACTCCTAAATTGGCTAAATCAAGAAACACATAAATCGGCCATATCAAGAATTTCCTAAAACGGCTATTGGGTCTTCTTAACAATCGCTCTCTCTCTCTCCCCCTCCCTCTATAGTACCTACTTAAGAATCTCCACATAAATACAGTAACTTAGCACTGAGCTTTCTATTGAGAGTTCTAATTTTGCTGCATTCTGATTGGTCGAAAAATTGACCATTTTGATCTACTTAACAGTCTACCCACCCCCCACCCTCTCTCTCTCTTGAAAGGGGTGGAGATTGCTAAGTAGATACCAGCGATTTCCTTTTTGTAGGCCGTTTTTAAAAGCATAGCGACTCTTTGGTCTCAATTGTTCATTATCTTATGTAGAGATCGAAGACGTGAAGGTGCGTCTGAAATGTCTGAAGTTGCTGTTGTGTCTGCTGCCGAGGGCCAGTCGGGACACTCTCCACTTTCTACTCTCTTTTCTACACGAGATCCATTCGGCCACTCTCTCGGAAGAGGAGGAGGAGGAGCACGAGCACCAGCAGCACGACCCCAACTCCAGTCCAGAGGTATTGCTTCTCACAAATTCATTACCACCAAAGTTGTGAAATTTTTCATTGAGGTAGCAATGTTCGGCGCAACTTGTACAGTAATCGACTGCTCTTTTTTAAATGTTAAAGGTCAGCGATATTGCCAACAATCTGCAACTGAATTTACAAAAAGCGTCTTCATTCAAGGCGTTTCCTTGTTAAACTGTTTCTAGCAAAATAATGAGTTGCTAGATCATGCTTTTCTTAAAAATAACCTTAACCCCCCCCCCCCCTTTTACAATGAATGCATTGATTACTAGGTGCAGCAGCGGATTGAGGGGAGGGGTCGCCAAATAACCGAGAAGCCCCTCCCCTCTCCCTCAAGAACGTCTAGATCCGCCACTGTTTAGGTTTAATACTTGCACATGTTTGTCTGTTGAATTAGACTTTAAAAAAATAAACATTTGTTACGGTGCCATAAATAGGGAGGGAATTGTTAAACGTGGATATTTTTCTATTTCAGATGAGCGGGAGCAAAATGAATGCTGCAAATTTGGCCACCGTGTTTGGTCCCACTATCATGAAGCCCCCCAACTGCAGCCCCTGTGGACATCGCAGTGGGGGCATAACATCCAATACTGCCAGTCTCATGTTTCTGGGGGGAGGGGCGGGGGATATAGGGGTCGAAAAGATGGAGTATATCGAGGATTACAGTCCCATTGTCAAAATCACAAAGACACTTATACTTTGTCACCAACAACTATTTCAAGTGAGTCACCAATTGAGACAAAAATCTTAATGCTGGTCTTTTTTAACTGGAGTATATTAAAACCCAGATTAAATTGTTTTAAAAATTGTTTTATATTGTTACAGAAAAGTTTCAAATTTTTTTTAAAAAACGTCTCATAGGTTTCTTCAAATTACTGTTGCAAATATATTTCAAGTTATTTAAAAGTTATTTTGAAAAATGTCTCATACTGTTTCGAAATTGTTTCAAAATTGTTTTGAAAAACTTCAACTCTTTCAAAATTGGTTCTTTCAAAACTCTTTCGAAAAAAGGTTCAAACTGTCTCAAAATTAATTCAAAATATTTCAAAATTAATTCAAGTTGCATAAAAATTATTTCGCAAAATATCTCATATTGATTCGACATTGTTCAAAATTGTTTTGAATAAAAGTTTCAAACTGTCACAAAATTGTTTCAAAATATTTCAAAATTATTTCAAAATTATCTCAAAATGCTTCAAACTTGTTTCAAAATGTTTCAAAATTATTTCAAAATGTTTCAAACTTGTTTTGAAGAATGTTTCAAAATTTGTTTGTTCCAGTTGGACGGTGCTACGACTAGCAACATTCTGCAGGTGATCCAGGAGACCAACCCAGAGGCAGTGGACTTCATCATCAACCAACGCTACAGGTAAGCAGAGTTCACTTACTCTTAGTTCACCCCTAATTAGATTAAAAATAACGGTTAGATTAAATATAAGATTGAAGGTTGCTGTGAAAATAGCACAGAATACTCCGACCATATTCACAAGAAATTACAACTTTTTTCTCAAAAATTAGTGTACTAGCTTAATTCGCTGTGTGATGAGAAAACTATATAAATGCGAAGAAAATCATTAAATGAAGCATAAAAGATTACAGTTGTCCTCAAAAATATAGAGAACAAAGAAAAATTTCAAAAAAATATTGTAATTTTTTTTCAGATTATTTTTGCCCATTGACTTTCAAAAATATATCCGAGTTTTTTCTACCCAGAAAGCGCTATGTAAAGTTTTCAGAATTAGGGTTTTTTTAATGTAGATTTTAGTGTTTTTAGCCCTAATGAAAAGTTTTTAAATAACGAACGTTACTCGCTCGAAGATTGACTAAAACTCAAAGATTTAAAAGACACAAACATAGCACTTCTTGTTTCATGGCCACACTTAACCGAAACCTTTAAATTGGTAGCAATTTTGACCCCAAAAACACGAAATTACTAAATATCCACATAGAACGCCAAAAATTTGCGAGACCGGTTTCATTAATTTTTTGCATAACAGTGATAACTTTGCATGATTCAGGTTGCAAGTTAGCTTGATGAATGATCACTTCAAATACATTTTAAAATCAAAAAAGTTCATTAAATTTTTTGTACAATTCACTTTCAACCTTTTTCTTCGCTCTCAGACTTGACTACCAATTAACGTTTACGTTCCCTTTCTTGCGACACAAAATAGAAATATATACCAAAACTGCTCTCGGTATATATAGCAGCAGTTATATATTCATATATAGCGAAAACTACACAATTATTTTCCGATTAAGATGATATCATAAAACAAACAAGACTGCTCGTATCAAAGCGAAGCCCTGAATGTTCCGACTGCCGTTAAGGTCTATGGAGCAGCAGTAACATGAAAAAACGAAATGTAACAAAAATAAAATTATTATTTTTTATTTGAGAATTATGGTGAAAATCATCCGCCTACACGCCATATAAAATACAAATTGACAAATTTCGCTCCTAGTAACAAATCAATTACATCGCGCGTTAATTGTCCCAAATTGGCCAAAACGGAAAAAAAAATTCTGAAAAACGAGCACAGGTGAAGTATCTTTTCAAATTTAAACTCAGGACAACAATACCTTTTGAATGACATAGAAAAATCTGTCAAAAATGGCTAATTAAAAGTCGATTTTATTTGTAGAGAAAAAAACACAAGCCACGCACAAATATTCAGTTACTTTCGTTACGAATGTTGGAACAATAAATACCTTCGGATTTTCTGAAAATTTCAATTTTTTTTAGCTCATCTATCCTTCAGACATCCATCATAGGTCAACTACTCAAATATCCAAATTGAACGCCAATTTATAAAAAAAACCAAATGGGGGTCGAGAAAACCAAATTTTGTACCCAACATGAAAATCAGGCGGTCGAGAAAACCAAAATTTGTACCCAACATGAAAAGCAAGCAACAAGTGAAAAAATCTAGTCCTTTCTTGTATAATTAAAGCCACTTTTCTAATTTGAAATAAAAATTGTTATCTGTTTTAGCAAAAGCTTCCTCAAACGACAAATATCAGTTGACCAAACTCGCAGCAGCACAAAAGAGCCAAAAGAAGCAACCCACTCCTCCATTTTCAAGTCAAGCAGTCAAAAAAGAGCCAATCACCATAACTCCTCCAGAAGTCTCAGTTGTTGTCGGCATTCGATCAAACAAGCTCGCGAACGCTTTTTCCAAGACCCGACTACCGCTTTCAACCCTAACTTGACACCCCTTTCGTATCAGGACCACTACAGAAAATTCTCGCAGCTCGACAACCAGTCGGGTTTCGCCGAAGTCGGAACTTACACGCGAAAGTTCAGATCAAATAAAATATCTCGAGGGTATCAATTTTGACGTCCCTAATCTGTATTTTTAACTTTGATTAATCTTCAATTGACAAAAAATGTTTAGTGCAAATAAACTTTAGCAAAATGTCTTCGTGAAAAACTGACTTGAAACTTTTCTACAATGTGATCTTTCATTCAAAAATAAAATTTACGTTTTTCAATAATAATTTTTTCTATTCTCAAGTTTTAGCTCATTGATTGCTCTGCGCAGCCAATGAGAAAGCAAATCATAAAATCAAACCGACGTGTCGCACAAAGACTTTTGTCAATTTTTCATTGAAAAACTTATTTCTTAAAGACTTTTGTTTACTTTGACGTTTTGAGCCCCCCTTTTAAATGTGTTTAAAACCTTATGTCCTGGACAAATAACTCGATGAAAACGTGTCTTCATACGGATTCGCTCTACATGACAATTTGTACTATTCTATTTACTTCTAATGCCATATTTGACACTTCTAACGGATTCTTCGATGTTCAAATTAATAAATATTCAGGACCAGCAGTCGCAAATTGCAAGCTTGACTTAATTTGAGATGAGAGCAGACTTGAAAACAAACAAGACTGCTCGTATATCACAGCGAAGTCTTGAATGTTCTGACGGCCCCCTAGTTCAAATCGAATAGTTTTTGGGAAACAAATATTGAAAACCTACAAATTTTCGACAATATCAAAGTGTGAAATGTTGAGAATACGATGTGATGAAAATAATACGACCGATCTGATTAGCTAGCCTCAATTCAATTCGGAACGATTTGCTGTTGTGCGAGATAATTCGCCGCGCATAAATAATTCGCGTTACGGGTGGCGTCCCTCATGCTGGAAGGACAGAATGTTTGAAATTTATTTTGACTTATTTTCAGCCAATCAAATTGAGTATTCAATTGAGTATTCTTAGAGAAATCTCAAAAATCTCAAAGTAACAAATAAAATCAGACACTTAGTACTAATATTGACCGATTATATAATAACAAGGTGAATGAAAGTAATACCGGATCGAAGGCGGATTGGAACAAAATTAATATTTCTAGGATACCGATTTACGAAAATAGAAAAACAAAAGCCTAAATTTGTTCTACCTGCACCTACTATGTCTGCATTTAGTATGCTTATTATATTTTCATTTTCTGTTAATAATGATTTCGATTTTTGTGAGAAAGGTATTCAGCCAATAGAAACGGTTAGCGATTTTGATTGGTTGAAATTTTTCCAGCGTTTATGCCCTCCAGCATGAGAACCCTACCCGCGTTACGCTCTCAGCAATATGAAGAAATTCTTCAAACCCCCAAAATTTTACAAAAAACAATTGGAGGTAAAATAATTTTTTAAATTTGAACTCGGAAAGCCGATTTCTTTAATGGGTTATAAAAAGTTTTTGTCGAAAACTATTATTTCGATCGGCGAAAATTGACTGAATGAACAAAACACATCGAGCATGAATATTCCGTTTTCTTCGAAAGTCAGAACAATTAAGCTCAGCCTGAGCCATCATCTAAAATTCGGCCAATTATACTAAAAAAAATAACAACAATCTAGAAATAGCGCCTTTGGCCTTTTCACCTAAATAAAAAACTTTAGTGTAGCGACATTGATAAAACAATTTGTGCAAAATCTAATAAATGATATGTTAGCAGAGTCAAACTAGTGGGGAATATCACAACGAAAAATATAAACCCTCGTTATTGGCAGACACGATGTTAAAAAACACAAAGTAAAAAACAAAACACAACTGCACAAAGGGAGATACGCAAGCTACAGTTCACACCATTGCCACATGAAGATTAGCACATCTGGGTTTCAACAAAAAATGAGCGTGGCCCAGATATCACTCCTGTCAAAATGGAGGCGAATCAGGACAGGCATAAAATGAAAAAAAAAAGCAGTAAGTATACCAGTCACAAAGAGAATAGCTGCCCCTTGTCTCTGAAAAAAGATTAAAAAATTGGTTCAGTTGATCTTGAACAATACTGCCGCATAAATCGAATTCTCAAAAGCCAGAAAATTTTTTTGACCCCATTCGCACTAATTACTAAATACAAGCTCTTTCATTACCACGGATAATATTGATTATGTTTCCTTGACAGTGAATTTTTAAACTTCGAGCAAATTTTATTTATCAGTGACCGAGATAAAATTCAAACTCTCTAAATTTACAGTTTTGTTGATTTTGAGACGTTGCGTTCAAAAATTGCCCTATCCTTTTTTCAGATTCATAGAGATTATATTCAATCTGACTGCTTTTACCCGTCTTGAAATCATGCTGATCAGACGAACAAAACTAACAAACTCCTGGAAGTTCCGGGAAGCTGAATATTTGTTCTAATTTGGAAAATTCACATTCGTCAAGAACCACAATTATCTTCAAACGAGCCGCCGTCAACGCTCATAGAAATGCATGTTCAAAGTCGTCTATCAAATGTTGTTACTTCTACGTTTACAACTTGAATTTAAAAGTTTTAATAAAAATTTTGCTTAAAGAAAATAATTGCGAGCTTATCCTGGCTCTGAGTGTAACACCTGCTCTCAATTCCGCTCCACCTGAATTAGTAGAACCAGAGCTTAGGAGCAATTTTATAAAAACGAGCAAGTGAGTTTGGGAGAAACTATACGCAAGCTATTTTTTTCTCCATGAGTCTTTCGAACCCTTCACAAAAACAGCGAAAAATTTGATACGAGCGACAAAAGCCGTTGTAAGTTTGCTATTTGGAGTGACTTACTTATTTCAACGGATCGAACCACGCTTCTACTTGTTCCTGTAGAAGCTTGAATGGGTTAATTTAAGTCAGGAAATTGAGGTTTTAAAAGCTGTATTCAGTATCGGTGATCCTAATACAGTTTCGACAAACTAAGTGTTCGACTGAAGCAATTTACCGGGGCATATGTATGCAGTAACGTGAAAGCTAAAGAGTATTACGTAGCTTGGTAGTGACACATCAATACGATAATTAGTAAAGCAAACAAGCGGCCCAGACCAAAATAGTTCAAACCTGTAGAGAATTAGTCATACTTCTGGAAAAACTTATAAGGTGTAAATGAAGGAGCAAACCCCACCCCAAAAGGGACAGAATGAAGCCAATTTCATGAAACTCGGATCCCCTTCACTGGTAATAGCGGTTATCGGAAGTGCAAATAGCCCTATTAGAACTAAGTATCTAGCGGTTGGATTCAAACCAAAACATTGTATCTTATAAAACAAGTTAAGGGAAGCTTAAGTACAGAACATTGGACTCATTGAACCCCTATTTTCGACTTTATGCCCTAATTAACATCAAATGGTCCAACCCGACATCCCAAAATTTCTTCTCGGCCCCAATGAACGCAAGAAGCCAAATATTTGGGATATGATAGATAGTGACAAGAAACATCTCGTTTTCTAAATTGAGCCATTGGCCAGACCGTAGGTTTTGAGCGCTTGAGAAGATCACCTTTTTCACCGGAATTTGGTAATTTGCGCAAAAACTTGAAGTTGAGATGGAATTGGTGCATTTTGGAAAGGAAACAGAAGATAAAGGACTTTAGTTTTTGACTTGCACCGCTGAAGTAGTGGATTGAAATAGAAAGAAACTGAGCAAAAACGAATCTAACTTAGCTGTGACTTTTGGGTTATCAAAAGCGACCTGGTTAGACGAAACAAAACTATTTCCAGAGGAAACTGACAATGATATAAGTAACGCATGTGAATTGAAACTCCAAACAACCTGAACTTTCTAAGAAATTAGTTAGCTTCCCATGACTGGCTTATTGACGCAAAACCTTATAAGTCAAACTGAGCTCCCCAGATTGCTAGAAAGTAGGGATTGAATACAGTATAGATAGGAATTTCAGAAGCTTAAAATGAGGCAACTACATCTGAAAAAAACCTCTCCACAGGTTATCAGAGTATATGTCTGGACTTGTAACAAAGATCATAACTAAAACTATAACTAAAATTCAAAATACAAAATAGCTAAAAATTTACGAATAGCCTAACTTTAGGCACAACAAAATGGATTAGGAAAGAGGATAGTTGGTTCGTGTCAGTTAGAGGAAAGTAACCCTAAGAGGGCGCACTGATAATTCTTGAAGTTAGCCAGACTAGTTACCAGAAAGGATTGGTGATCTGTGGATACATTATGTTTTTAGCAGATCAAACTGAGCAGTTGTGTGGAATTACTGAGTGGAACTGGAAAATACGGATTCTCCTCAAAAGGAGATCAATTCGACAAAATACGAGTAGGTTGAATTTCAATTAGGCATGCTCTCAATCAATAAAAATAATTATAAACTGAATTGAAGTAACCTCAAGTTTGTTTTAAATGATTTTTGAGAAATTGTTTATCGAAAACTAATTTTCATACAGTTTTCATACGGAGAAAAAAAGATAAACATTCGGCAACCCAAATAAGGAATTTTTTTTGATGAAAAGAAATCTTCGAAGCCGTCAAATAGACGAATTTATTCTTTGCAATTATTTTTGAAAGAATTTTTCTTAAATTAGATTAAAGGTGAAAGAAAAGTATTCTTCATAGACTTTTTTACGGGTTTGTATAAAAAACCGCTTTTCATTCAAATAAAATAAAATTTTGTTGAACAGAAACCTTTAAAGCAGCCAAATAGACGAAAGTGTTGTTTTAAAAACCATTAAGAAATTCTGAAAAGTGTATACAAATTGTATGACAACTATTTTTCTGTATGAAATTTGCATGAAAGGCAGTTTCGGGGTATGCCGGGAAAACATTCAATAACTAAAGTCTAAAAACGAGAAAACCAGCAAAACGTTTTTTTTTGGACAAAGTAAAATGGTTACGCTTTCAGTGCAGCTCTATTTGCAATTTAAGGTGGTTTCTATATGATAAGCTATGACATGGCTTTTCCAATTAAATTTTTGTTTGCTATGACCTTAGTTATTGTTTGAGTTATAACTTTTATTGCAAAAGTTATTGGGAAAAAATGCATTATTGAAATGACCAAGCTTGAAAATCACTAACCAAAAAAGTTAGAGCCACAAAATAGAGTTAAGCATAAAATCAAACTTCAGGTCAGTTCCTCGCAAATCGGCCTCACCTAGTTTGACATCTGATTTTTTGATTTATTCTGCCCACATTTCTGTTATAGTTCGTATCTGTTTGAAATCGAAAACAACATAACTAAATCAACATTTAAATTCTTAAGGAACACAGAAAGCTTGCAGGAGTTATAGGTGGGTCCCGGTGAGAAAAGCAAGTATGAAAAATGGGTCCCACAACTTTTGTGAAAAACTGGAAAAAAGTGTTCAAATGAGAAACAAGTAGATTGCGAATATATTTGAAGATCTGTTTAAGTTTTTTAAGGGACTCATTTTTAGGGACCTATTTATCATACTTGCATCAGGAAGAGGATCTCTTTAACTGTCCCCCTTTCCTATGCCCGGGCTCAGGTGCTCGACTCATGATTCGACCGAAACGTTCGAACCATGTCCGATTTCGACTTTTTGAGTCGAACGATGTCCGTTTTCAACTTTTTTGAGTCGAACGATGTCCGTTTTCGACTTTATGAGTCGAACGATGTCTCGAATTTACCGGATACTGTTAGATACCATGGTACCAGTAGCGTGCGAGGGGGGAAGCAGGGGCGAAAACCCCGACCCCCCAATTATGGTTGCCGAGTTTTTCCAAAGTGTCCCCCCTTTGATATAATTTTACGACAACCATTTTTGGCTGACCAACCTCAATATTTTTATAAAGGCGCTTTTGGCGCCAATATAACTAATTTTGAGGGGGGAGCGCACGCCGAAAACCGAAAAAAAAACGTTTTTTGGCCTGTTTTTGAAAAATTTCGGAAAATCAAATTGGTCGACGTAAAAAAAGTCACCGCAGCATATTTCCTATCCCCGCTTTCCAATAAAGGGGGGGGGGTTATTAAAGAGATTCCCAAGAAGATTAGGAACAAGATGAGTAAACGGCGAACTAGCAATTCTCGGTTTACGATGCCGCGGAATGTGAGTCAGAATTTTAGTCATGAGGAAATGCAGCGACTGAATCTGAGGTTCCGCAAACTGGACAAAGATCACTCGGGTACTCTTTCAGTGAGTGAGTTGATGGTCCTCCCAGATATCCCCAAAAACAAACTCATCTACAGGGACATCATTGCCATAGCCGCTCTTTTGCAAACTTTATCCTTCTTTCCGATAAAATCAAAATTTTGCAAGGTTGTATTGACCACAATATTTAGTGGCAGCCATATTGAAAAGATACATAAAAATGGAAAACTTTTGGGCGATAAAATTCAACTTAAAGAATTGAGTAATAAGGCCAAAAATTTTGTTAAAACTATTTTTAAAAATCAACTTGGTGTCAATCAGACTCAAATACCGGGAACACTGCTGTGAGTTGGTCTGCAAAAAATATAAAAAAGTCAGACTAGTTTTTCTGTACACTGAAAGCATTCTTGTGGAGTATCTTTTTGGAAATCAAATAACGACTGCAGGGGATTTAATACGATACCACAGTTGAAACGTGCTCTCTTGAAGTACTCAAAATAAAACAAAAAAAAATAACTTTACTCCATAATTAATTCTCATTCCTAAAAGATTTTAACAATCATAATATTTCGAAGTTTCGAAGTGCATCTAAGATATCACAATCAATTTAAAAAATGCTTGTTTTGCAGACCAGATCAATGAATCTTAAACTGCGATTCGTTCAAAATGAAAACTAAGTGGAACCAGTTCTAAACTACTATTTATAAACCAATTATGTCATTGATAAAACTATCTCTATAAAATGTTACTAGCTAACCAATCATATTCCCTCACTAACATTGACACCTATTTGTAAGAGCTGAAACTACTTGTAGTTTCAGCATCAGATCATTTTGAATAAATCTTAAACTACAGTTGTTCTCCTTCTGGATAAACTCCAAGAACTAACTCGCAAAGACCAGTATACACTAGATCTTTTCAGACTAGGAGATTTAGGGGTAAGATTAAGATTGCTATTAGACTAAGAAGTTGCACGAACCTATCCGGCCGAAAATAAGATAGCGTGACCAACCCGACGGTGTACCTTTTCTGAAATAATTCTATGAGTACAGTACCCTCGTTCATAATTCATCTGGTGCGACCAAAAGTCTCGAACAAGACCTTAACTAATTTAGAATTAGTTAATCAGAATTAGAATTAAACAATTGCAAAATTGCAAAATGTTAGATGGAATAGATAATTTAATAGAAAAGTCTCTACGTCTCAATAAATCTACGCAAATATTTCAAACAATACGAGAAATACCAGGTATTGCATGAAGACCGAGATCAAGGCGTGAACAACAAATTGGAGACGGACCGAGCTACTAACTGGCAGTACAACGAAAACCGGAACAAGTATTTGTATTCCGAATACTTTATGAGTAAGTATGATTTTTCATTTATTACCATGAAAATCAACTAATAAGTATTTCTTAAAGAACCTATGGGTGCTGTACCTACTATATAAATACTAACGACTCATAAAAAAATGCTCGAATCGTTTCTTTTCAAAAGCTGCTGTAAATTGAATTTTTTGATTAAATTTTATTTTGAATAAAAAATACAGAAGTTAGTTAGTATGAAAATTTTTCGTTTGTTTTATTAAAATGAATTACAAATCACTCCATCTTCATCCCAGCTTTATCACCTAAAACATAAAAACATAAATTCGAGAAACTGAAATCATCCAAACTCTAACTCTCAAAAACCTTCTTTTATTTAAAATTTTACATAAAAATTATTTATCAAAGCTTATTCTTGCTTTTCAATAATTCACAATTATTTAATTAACAGATCATCAAGGCTTTCCTTGGATTTTCAGTTTCACTTAAATTAAGTTTTGTTTCACTTAAATTTCTGATCATCAAGGCTTCCCTTGGATCAATCAGATTAACTTCGTTATTCCCACCCAATAATTTGAAGCAGCTAACGACCTCAAACGTCGATTCACTCTCCTACCCTTATAAAGACCCAGGACTAATAGAAACTTTTGAACAACTAACCATTCCAATTGAGATAGGCAGTGAAGAATTTCGGTTACTAACTCTTCACTTGAGCCATTCCTCTTTGATGACCCAGGCTAAAACCCTTAACATTATTAATAAGTTTTAAAATAGTTTCTAACGTCCTACTTGTGTTCTAACTATACCTGAACCTTGTGGATTGACTTACAATTCTCCAACTTTTGATCACAAATCAAACTCCTAGGTAAGATTAAGTAAATTCGTCATATATTAGATATAGTCACGAGAAAGTAAAAAATCATTCTCACGAAATGATATACTCTCTCTCCAACCCGTAAACCAAGACAATCAATGCCCCAAGTTAAGATAACCACACAAAAACCATAAGAACTAACAGTTTAGGAAAATTAAAACTCTAACCCCCAAATATTGCATCTATCATCCTAAACCTTATGTCAAGAGATAATCTAGGCAGTAAGCAAAGAATCATACTAACAATTGCTTAATTGCAAACGAAATATATGATCTTGTAATCGCCCCACACAGACAAAAAATAAGAAATATCAAATCATAAAGACAAAGACAAAAAAAAGACAATAATGGACAAAAACCAAAAACAAATTATCAAGGAACTATTTTCGAAAAGACGAAACGCAGTTTCAGAAACAGATACAAATACAATACAGCAACTTCAAGACCTGAAAGGTTCAACTAATAAAAATAACCCGATAGAAAATCAAAAATACTTTTCTGACTCAGAAGCTACATCAATATCATCAATTAACAGAAAACGTAGAATTAAAAAGTCATACATTAGTAAACCAGTACGACTGTACAATTGGAATCAACCAAAAGGACACATTGAAAGTTACACATTTACAGTTTTAAGATACCAAAGTTGATCGAATACGACAAAATAATGAGACTGCTTAAAGGTTTTTTCAGTAGTGCGACCAGGGGCGTAGGACAACTGTTTTAGGACAATCTCACATTTTTCAGAAGGCGCCTCACGCACCAACAGTAGCGTGCCGAGGGGGGGGGGGAGACCGCCCTCCCCCTTAACTCTGATTGCCAAATTTTTCCAAAGGTTCCCCCCTTTGGTATAACTTTATGGTATCCACTTTTCGCTTTTTCGCTGAAAAATCTCAAATGTTTTCTAAAGGCGCCTTTGGCGCCAATTTGACTAGTTTCGAGGGGGGAGCGCGCATCAAAAAACACAATTTTTTGGTCAAAATTTTCTAAACAGTGCCTAAAAACGCCTTTACAAAAAAGCAGCTAAGACAAAATAGGGTCCTTAGTCTGTTTTAGGAGATCTCGGAAAATGAAATTGGTCGACAGAACTCAAAATGCTCAAAATTCGACAGAAAATTTCCTGCGCACGCCACTGCGCACCAATGTGTACTAACTTTGACGTGAGAAATTTCTCCAAAATTTCTCAAAACTGCTCAAAATTGGCACTGTTTCTAGAAATTATGTTCGTTCTGGGTTTCGACAGAACTCAAAATGCTGACCTAAACAAGACCCCATCAAAAAATTCTTAACTAAATAATAGTTTGTGGTTTTTTGTAACGTATTATAATGAAATTGTTAAGTATCGTCTCGTTTTGAAGAGTGTCAAATTTGGATTGATGACGGAAAAGAGCCTTCTGACTAGAATTCTGAACGTGTTGGACAGAGACGGAGATGGAGAGATTGATTTCCACGAGTTCATTCATGGTCTGTCCCAGTTCAGCGTCAAAGGTCAGTTACATAATAGTTATCTTTAACAATCATGTAGCAGTCGGGTAAAAGTTACCGTCAGTTGCAAGTAGCCCGATGATGTTGAAGATGTACACAATTAAAAAACCTTCTTAAAGAGAATATCGTGAGATTATAATCACCAAACATCCGTTCTTACTAGAAAAAACAAGAACTTCACGTGTCACGTCTATTTTGGAATATTGCTTAAGGGGAATAGAGGTTGGTCTCATTGGAAAACAAGACCTCGCCATTCCCAAAAACACGCACACAAATACACGCATACATACATCCAGAGGGTCTTACTTTTGTTACTACTTAATATCCAGTCTTGGTCGCATAACCAGAAACTTCTTTCAAATTGGCGCACCAAATTAAACAGAAGTTATCTTAAAGAATAACAATAAATACTTTATTTGACAAAATATTGAGAACAAAACTTATTGCATTTCATTTTGGTCAAAACTTTTTGCTCTCTATTTTGACTGTTTATCAAACTTTTATGTTAGGAACTGAATTTTTAGCTGAGCAAAAAATGCAATAACTGCACTGAAGCTTTATTGAATTAATATTTTTACAAACATGATAAAAGCTTAATTTTTTTTTTGGATTTTCAAAACACGTTTTTTATGAATCCTCTCTTTTTTTACTAAAATTTAGTTTAGTGAAGCCCAGGGGCGGATCTAGGATTTTCTCGAGGGGGCGGATTTTCAAAAACATATTTGAAAATTTAGTCGAACTTTTTTTTAGGTCGACCAAATGGGTATTCCGAGCTCTCCCAAAACACTAAAGAGCACTTGGTCAAACTTTCTGCGTTGCAATTTTGAAAAACAGGCCAAAAAATGCGTTTTTAGGCACTTTTTGAAAAGTTTTGACCAAAAAATCGCGTTTTTTGCGCGCTTACTTCTTAATACTAGTATATTTTGGCGCCCAAGGCGCCTTTAGAAAGTTTTTATGGTCAATCACCAAATATGGACATCTCAAAATAGTACAAAGAGGGACCCTTTGGGTCGGCAGTGGGTCGAATCCTTGAGAGGGGGCGTCCGAACCTACGCCCCCACCCCTAAACCCGCCCCTGTTAAAGCCATTTCTCATCGATAATGGCAACTTAATAACTTAACCAGTGTTTTTTTTGTGCTGAACAAGCTTTTATAGTACTGATTTAGAAAAAAAGCCGGACAAAAAAAAACAAAATTTTCAGACCTGTTTCTTTCAACTTCGGTAAATTTGAACAAAAAATGATGAAGACAAAATTTGGAATTTTAACTGCTTTTTTATGGCGCAATTTATTGGCAAAAAATTAAACCCAACTCCTTTTGACTAGATTTAAAGGTAACATTTTTATTGTACACATTAACTCGCGTTGAAGTATTTCCGCTCATTTTTCAGTTTGAGTGGCATCAGATAGTTTGTTGCAAACATCGAAGAAAGTAAGAGATTCTTTGCTATCTTTTTTTTGCAATTTTTGGGCGTTAGGAAAGTTGTCAATGCAACAACCAATACAGGCTTATTTGCGAGTGCATTTTTTCTTTTGTCAAAAGCGCCTAATGCGTAAATGCAATTGATTAACAGGGATAACTGGTTGCTGTGCAAGTAGCTCAGAAAATTCCGATCATATTTAAAAAAAAACTGCAGTTTTTTCAAATTAGTAGTTTTATGCGCTTGGCATGATAAGTAAACTGATCCAACGCGTCGAATGTTGGTCGAATTAGTTAAAATCGAGAAAGGTTTTATTGGAAAAATCAAAGAAAAAATAACAAAAAACTCTTAAACATGTTTTAGAAAAAAAATTCTACAAAGTTTGCCTATTATGTGCAAATTAAACTTTTGATTATTTAAGGACGTTTTATTGCTTCAAACTCCCTATATGAAGCTTTTAAAAAAAGTTGTACATAGTACTTTTAGGTTTTTTGACATCCCAAACTGAAAAATTTTAGTCAAATTTCCAGCATGCAGAGCGAGCGAGTATGTCTTACTCGCTGAAACTAGACAAAAACTAAAACGTTTTGATAACGTTTTCGAAAAAAAAACTGTCAGACATTTAGAAGGAAATTTCAAATCTGTTTGATTAATGACTAAAAAGGTTTTAATACGCTGTATCATTCAAGCCCTTGCAATGATTTTTTGTAGTACGTGATTTCACACAAAACTAAAACCCGAAAACTTAGTTCCTTCAACTGATTTGGGGCAAGCTAAAAAACCCAATTGGACGATAGGACAAAAAATAATACTTGTCAAGACTTAACTCTAAATTTTGTAGTCTCTAAAGTTAAACATAAAATTACTCTAGTTTTTTTTTTAAATTTATGGCTTGCTGAAATTTTTGAGACTGAATCCTGCTACGGTAAATGTTTTTTTTTTTGAACTCTATATAGTTTTTGACCACAAAATTGTAAGCAAATTATGCAACCAAATCATAAAATTGAAATTGCGTAAAAAATTATATGGTTTTATTTTTTGTGTATACATGTAGATTCAATTTTGTAACTGCCAGTGAAATTTGGAAAAAATAACCATCAATCCCGTATTTTTTTAAAAACTTTTGTTTGATTTGATTAAGAAAAAGCAAAGGATAAAAGCCAAATCAAGGTCTTGAAAGCGAAGACTTATATCAAAAAACTTAACTTTTTGCCGTTTTTGACGATCCATGAACATCAGTTCTCAAAAAATTTATAGCTTGACAGAGTTTTTTAAAGTGATGCAAAAATAACAAGTAAAAGACCCATTTTAAAATATATCATGGTTGCTGAGTAAGCTGGAAGTAGCACAAAATTGCAGACCATTGACATAATTGCAGTTTTAATCGAGATAACGGAATAAGCTCTGACTCTAATAGTTCTGGTTTGTTTCAAAAATATGGATTGAACACTGACTTTTCAACACTGACTTATTAAATTTTGACAGTTAATTTAAGAAAAAATTCTTAACCAATTTTCAGAAATTGTTTGCGTAGCCCTTTTTTATTCACTGCGCTACGTAATTGAAGCTTTCATTGAAAACAAAGTCTCAATTAAATTCGACAAGGTAAGTTTTTGAGAAGAATTCAGCCCATTTTTTAAAATCTCAATTTAATTTTAGCCATACGAAAAACACAAAAACAAAAAGTTTTAGCTGTTGCGAATAATTGTGATTACAGTGCTGATTTGAATTAACCGGACACTGCGAACAAAACTGGAAAATTCAAACGCGTTTTTCTCGAAACAAGTTAAGGTTAGAAAAAAATTTAAGAAAACAAAACTTGCTTGGAACTGATCAAAATTAATATGGTGCAATTAATATGGTGCTGTTTTTTTTAAAGTGGATCATTTTGTTTTTTGCTTAATCAAGAACTTCACTGGAAATTGCGCATTAATTGATAAAAAATATATCAAAAGAAGCTTCTTGCACCGCCCAACAAAGTTCTAGGTGATAAATCTCCAAAAATTGCGCAAAAAAAATGAATTGGTTTTTAACAAAAATTTTGGGTTTAAATCCTAAAAATGACCTTTTTTGGCTACCAAGTAAAAATATATTCATTTTTACATTTTTTTGACAATTCTACTCTGCTGAGACTTTGTTGGGCGTTGTAAGAGGCTTCTTTTGATTTGAGTTTCTTATCAATCAAGGTGATAGTTTCAGCCTAATTCTTGATTAACTAAGAAAAGCCGAAATGATTCAAAAACTTATGGTCGTAAAATTTGAAATAAAAATTGCACCGCAATAATCTTGTTGAAATTCTAAACAACTTTTGTTCTCTTAGTTTTTTTAAACTCATTTTGAGACATTTCAATTTGATGTTTCAATTTTTGTTTGAATCGGGATCTTTAAAATCAGCGCTGTATATTCCGTTTGTTATTTAAAAAAAGGCAGTGACAGTTAACGAGGAGTTGAAAGTTAGCAATCAGAAATCATTACTTACAGCTGATAAATCAGACATTTTCTTTAAATGCATAATGCTAAGATTGAGTCAACTTCAATCACTATTTCCTACCATTTTTCTCATTTTAAATTACTTTTGTCTGACTGTGGAAGTTTTCAGAAACAAATCAGACCGACCATAATTGCACATTATATTTTATGTTGGTCATCCGGTTATTGCAAACGCTTTAGTTGTTAATAAGTTAAGCTGCGTAAACCAGACGCTCGCAAAACCTTCACTTGTGTCGTGAACTTCATTGACCATTAAGTTCTTTCACTTATAATTTCGCATAACTCTGAAGGTTTTCGTTAAAAAAACAGTAGAAAAATTATATTCAAAAGTGTAAACATGCACATGAATGAATTGCTAATGGATTGATTTCCCAATGGTTCATAGAAAGCAACTGAAAGACTGAAGGTTGCGGAGATATTAAAACATAGTTTTGAAAAACGGTACAACCATAAACCATTATGTCAAAAAGCATGTTTTGTTGTACCATTTTTTCATTATCATTTTTATCATATTGGTGACAGGTTGAATTCTTGAGAGCGTGATAACTTTTAAGAATAATGAACGTAGTGAAGGCTCTTATATATAGGTCTTGCTGATTTTTTTAATGTTTTTTTTTTCAGGAAAAAGTCTTAAAATTTTGATGCACTTAGGAATAATGCACTTTTTGAGTTCAATTGAAATTCATCTGCTGAAAGTGACGTAAATAGCACTCTCCAAATACGAACGTGGAAATGGCGCAAAAAAAACGTAAAAAATTTTAATTTCGAAAGTGGAATTTAATTTTTAGATTTTCAGCGGAATGAAAACTTTACCTATTCACTCAGTTTTCTCTAGTTGGGTACATGTTATCAAAAAAGCATCTATCATATTCTAGAAATTCAAATATTCTATCACATTCTAGAAATTCAAAGAGCTTAACGGGCATCTATTTTTTTCTTTGAAATTCGAAATTTGAGATTTTTTTCAAGAAAGTCCGTGATTTTTTATTCTGTTTACTTGCATTCATTACTCTTTTCCAATAATCGATTGGCTATGTTTTAAGCAAAGTCAATGTTTTTTTTATGTTTACTTGCGTTCATTACTCTTTTACAATCTTTGATAGGCTATATTCTGTATTAGATCTGTTTCAGATTGTTTTGTAGTAATATTTCGAACTTGAGAATCATGGGCATCTTGCCAAGATCTTGCAAGACTTCGGCTAGATATCCACGGTACTTTGATTAGCTATGATTTTGACAAGACTTTCCAAGATCAAAACTCTGGGCTGTTTTTTTTTTGTTGAGGTTATTGTTCCGACTTCCGATACGAAAGTAACGGAATATTTGCGCTCGGGGTGGGTTTTTTTTTTCTTCAGACAAATTTCGACTTTTTAACTAGCCATTTTTGACGGAATTTTATTTATATCATTCGAAAGGTATTGTTGGCCTGAGCTCAAATTTGAAAAGATAGTTCACCTGTGATCATTTTTTGTAAAGTTATGGGGGTTTAAAGATTGCTATTTTGGCCAATTTGGGACAATTAACGCGCGATATATTTCGCGCTATTAACGCGTGAGCGGAGAGTTAATCCGTCTTAAAATCGTTCCAAATTGGTTGAAAGAAGCTTATTTGCCACAATTGATTTGTTACAAGGAGCGAAATTTATCATTTTATACTTTGTATGGCGTGTGAGGAGATGAATTTCATTTAAAAAATTCAAATTTTAGAAAAAAAATTTTCATTTTGTTTTATTACTTTTAATTTGTTAATGTTATTACTGCTCCATAAACCTTAATAGGCAGTCGGAACATTCAGGGCTTCGCCCTGATACGAGCAGTCTTGTTTGACTTAAATTTGGTTGTTTCAGGTGACGAAACACAAAAAATGCGCTTTGCATTCAATATCTATGACGTAAATGGGGATGGATACATCTCCAACTCAGAACTGTATCATGTAAGCTATTAGTTTGGTTAACATTTCTGCAAAATCCTTTTTAAAACTCTGTTTTTGAAGTTATGGAATAACATGACTGATTAGCTTCGAATCGAACTACTGAGTGTGAACTACTAGAATTACTGGAAGTTGTTAATCTATATGAAATACTATCAATTTCCAGAACACATTCGCTTTTGCCGCTGTGCTACTTCAATTTAACTATTATTCAAATTTTTGGCATTGTTCATAGAAAAGTAGAAATGTAGGCTTTTAGGGGAGGCTCGGAAAATTAAATGGGTCGACCTAAAAAAAAGTATCGGAAAATTAAATGGGTCGACCTAAAAAAAATATCGGAAAATTAAACGGGTCGACCTAAAAAAAATGGGTCGACCTATAAAAAATCCGCAAGACTAATAGTTTATCTTCCTTTGAATGGAATTCATTGAAATGATTCACTTTACAAGAATGAGTTCCAGGATTAATCACATGTTTGGCTTAAATATCTCAGAAAACAATCATTAAGAGGTTAAACCAGATTGAATGGCGCCCACAAAAGTTTCCGGCTAAAATTTTTTACATTTCACTCTAAGGGCTGGAACGCCCTATGGTTTCTATTACAGAACTGCCACCTCTATAAATGATCTCCCCTACATGTTTTTCCACTTTCCAACCTCTTGCTACGAGTGATCTCAATAAAATCATAATTAAATGCTGCATTTGAGGCAAGTTGATTTGAAAAAGGCAATCATAAAAGTTTTTTGAAATGAACTTAAAAGCAATAATTTTTTCACCGAAAGTTTGAACAATAAAAAAATTATTCGATGAAGTCGTTTTGATTCATTAGCACCATGTTCCGTCGGTTGTATATGTTTAGGTGTTAAAAATAATGGCTGGTAGTAATTTGAGCACTCGGCAGTTGCAACAGGTAGTGGACAAGACTATGTACGAGGCGGACACGGACGGCGACAACCGACTCTCCTTCTCCGAGTTCTGTCGCGTGGTGAAACACCTCGACGTCTTCCGCAAGATGTCGCTTCACAATGTCTGACTCAGACTTATCTATATGACGTTATAGCAAAAGTGAACAAAATATAGAGTTGCAAACGGTTCGGATAGACAGAACTAAAAAAAGAGCAGGTCATCTAACACGCAAAATCTACATTTTTAACAGAATTTATGTCATGTGGTTGCCTTTAAATTTCAATTAGCGAGAAAAATTTGCTCAAAAAAGGCAGATTACTTTTGAAAGTCAAATTTGTCTATCCGAAAATTTAGTGAATAGGATAATGGAAATTGTAGAAAGTTGAAAAAATCTCAGAAATTACATATTTTTAGTTACAGACACGATATTCACATCAATTTCCAAGCAAAATCAACGTCAATTGAGAAGATACATCATCGACTTATAAATCATCGATAAATCATCGATAAAACATCGACTTTCTGCGAGATTTGTTACTCCAATAAGTAATCATGTAAACGATAGTCTTTTCAACTGTGTTAGAAAGTGTATCTTTTCTGTAGAGTGCAAGAAAAACCAATACTTTATCATGATTGATTTTTTATAATCATTTAATTCGACCGGATACCTAAAAATTTTCAGGCAAAAAATGCAGCGAAAGTGCGCAAATCAATCGAAACTATGCTCGCTCTAATCTCCAAAAACTGATCCAAATCCGTAAATTAAAAAAAGATATTTCTCGGTAAATAACTCAGGCAAATAGATAAATTTCGGCATTCTCTATCGATCAAAAACATCATATAACTTTTATCATCAGCTCGTTTTTGGTACAAATCGGCGCAAGCTAGCCACAAGAACCGGTCGGTAATGTCATTGAGACAAATTGCTCTTTTTGGCGGTCAGCCTTAATCAAGGCTGAACCGAATTAGAACCAAAAAACAGTTAAAACGGTCAAATGGGGCTATAGCCCCTCGGTCTACTTGTTTTAAGGTCTGTGTATGGGAGACTCGAACACGGTTGACCGTCGTGAGAGACTTGTCCCTAGGCTGCTCGGCCATCTAGTCTTATTTTATATGCATTTTTACTCTTGTTTTATATGCATCTATACTCTGTTTTATATGCATCTATACTCTGCATTTGCGTTGCAACATCCTCACCCCCTGAATAAAGAAGAACCGGAGCCAGCTTAACGGTCGGCCGAGTGACTTCACGGGTTGCGGTCTTAACAAGGGCGGATCGGGCGCAACCGTCTTGTCTGTAGTTTAGCTTGACGCTTCGGGCGAGGTGGTAGTACCCACGCGGACTATCGGGCTCAATTACCCACACGAGATCGCCTGTTTTAAGAGTGAAGTCAGAATGAGTGTGCCACTTGACACGCTTATTCAGTGAGGGACCATACTCTCGAAGCTACCGAGACCAAATCGCGTTAGCATATGACTGCGCTCGCACGTACCTTTTCTTTTCTTGCTCTTAAACATTTTGGACAACCTATCTACAAAACATAAAAAACGAGTTCATAGTCACATTCAAATATGTCAGCGTGGACTAGTAAGCAAATTTGAAAAACATGTTTTTCATTTGGTACTGGATATTGATTTTGCTTCTTATTTGAAAAGCTGGCAAAAACAATTGAACTACTATAGAAACGAACAGAAGTTGAACCGCCAGAAAAATTTTTCCAAAAAAACAGGACCACCTACAGAATAGAGCATCATTCATTTTGCTTTTTAAAACTAAGAGCTGCATGGACAACCAACTCTTTATACAAAAACTGATGTTTTGTTTTTGCGTAAAACCAGTTTAGTTTCTGTAGTCTAGACAAAATTCTAGAAAAAACTGCTGCTCAAAATATCTTCAAACCTGTTGAGGAATTTTATGGCTTCTGGTGTACAAATGAAAGAGAACAATTATTTTGGCAGAAACACGAAACAATTTTGGTAGTTCGTTTAAGCTGGAATCTTGTAGAAAGACAATTTTTGTAGAAAAAAAAACAATCCCCTTTCGATTCTTAGACATTTAGGTTACAAGAGCATATAAAAAATGATCTTTGAGGTTTCTAACTACAGTAAAACGTGTAAGCGTGAACAAAATAACCAGTTTTAGCCAATTTTTCCAACGTAAGTTGCTGAAAAACTCAATTTGCCTACAAATTAGCAAATGAATTTTAAAAAACTTTGAAAACAATCGGAAGTTGAACGGCGGACGAAACATTTGACCGAAAAAAAAATTGAAGCAACACGAGAACCTACATACGCAAAAATTCCTTTCGTTCAACAGATCACAGACTCGACAACTATCTGTTACTTACGCAAACTTTGACTTGATTGCGCGTGAAAAAAAAGAATCGAATCCTTGTTGCTAATACAAGAAGCTTGAAAATACTGCTGCTTAAGGTGTGTTATCTTCAGTTGAGGCATTATATTTAGTCTCTAAGGAGTACAAACGAGTGAAAACCATTCACTTTTTAGTTTTGGCAGAAAAAAAAACAAACATTTTCATGGCACATTTGAGCATTACGAGGCCAAACTCTGCACTGGATAGGAGCACAATTGTGTCTGTATGTTCCTGAATTCCAGAGACAAGTCTTAAAACATGTTCCAAAAAGTAATTGAATTCCACAAACAAAATTTTAGTGGATTCCGCATACATATACCTGTAACGTAAATTTTTTCGACCCAATTATTTTCTTGCGGATTCCACAACAAGCAAATATAGCCAGTTGTTCCGGATTCCGCAACTGTAAGTGGATTCCGCGAAATGTAAGCGGAATCCGCAAATGTAAACGGATTCAGCAAACTGTAAGTGGATTCCGAATTTTGTTCAATACTGAACTTGCATATGAACAATTAAAAGCTGAGCTGGAATTTTTATCTCTAGCAATGCGGAATTTAAAAGCAAAGACTTAACCATTGTCAGCGGAATCCACGAACAAGTCTTAAAACATTGGTTACCTAAATCGGTGGATGTCATCTTTTAGTATTTTGGAAACACACACCGAACAATTTCAATATTTGGAGTCATTGAGTTGAGAGTGTATGGAACACACAGCATATCGACAAATTAGGTCAGTAATTGGGATTGCTTCAATCCCAAATACTGATTTTGGAAGCATAACGCCGAATAAATGCAGTAATTGTAGTCATTGGGTTGAGAGTATATGGAAACACAACACACAGCATATCGACAAATTAGGTCAGTATTTAGGATTCCATCGATCCCAAATACTGGTCAGTATTTGGGATTGATGAAATTCCAAAAACTGGAATAATGGAGAATAAATATGGAACATATCCATTATTTGGAGTCATTAGGTTGAGAGTGATTAGAAACCCAACGCATAGCAAAATGTCGAATTAGTTCAGTACTTGGGATTTCATCGATCCCAAATACTGGTCAGTAATTAGGATTCCATTAATCCCAAACACTGATCTATTATAGTAAATTTTTATTCTAGTTAATTTCTATTTTAGTGAAATCAAATCATGTATTTAAAAGATATAACTTTAAAAGCTACTACACATATAAATATATGTAAAAGGAATACGCAAACAAAATGCGGATTCCACTTACAATTTGCGGATTCCACTTAGTTTCGGATTCCTCAACAGCTCAATTAAACGATACAAATGTTTTATCATTTGTTTGTGGATTCCACAAACTGTTCTGGATTCCGCAAATAGAGTTACGGATTCCGCATATTCGCCTATTTTTCGAGCGATTTTGAGCGGTACAATGGTTTAGGTATTTGTTTGTGGAATCCAAAACAGCAGAAGATCGAAGAAAAGTAGCAATATTGCGGATTCCGCGACAAATCTGATTTTGGCCTTTTGCGGATTCCGCTTACAATGCAGAATGCACAGTTTGGCCTCGTAATGAGCTGAACCTTTTGTTTTTATGATTGAGGTTAAAAGCTGATCACTTGTTTTTGTGGTTCGCTGTAATCCCAGGGACGCCGTACACTCAGGAATTCGACACCCTCACTACCCAAAGGGTCTCCACTTTCCACTAGCCAACCATTTTCAAGGCACCGTGACGCGCGCGCAAAACTTTTAAACGCTAAACTCGGGCAAAAAAGTGAATCAAAATTTTTCAAAAAAATGCTCTTAAATTTCTCATTTGGTCTAGAAACTTGCCTACTGCACTAGAAAACTGAGCAAAATGAAAAAACTGTTCTGGTTTTGGGGTAGCTTGCAAAATGATCTTGGTCGCTTTAAACAAAGGTTGACATCATTTTGACAGCCAGGATTGTTTTTTTTCTAAAACGAAACTGCCAAAAAGGTGACTTTCATGTTTTCAAACTATACTGTAAATAAGCCAGCCCTCTTTTTGCACTTCTTTTGAATTCTGGAAAAGTACGGAAACTTTGGATCAAAAACAGTGAAAAATATATTTGAATTCGGCAAAATTTTTGAATGGGTAGGCATTTTTATTTTAATTCAGCCAAGTAGAACTCAAATTATTTACTACAAGTTCATTACATCGAAAAAAAACATGAAGGCTATTGGCGTATGAATAGAAACATGTACAATTTAATGTTACTCTTACACCATTTGAGCTTATTTTGGGACAGGCAAATCCTCATACAATTCCAATTTGCAAATTTCGTACAGAAATAGGTTTAATTTAGTACAACGAGCCCAGCAGAAATTATGTGTTTGATGAGCAGCCAATGAAATGCGCAACAATTTGCGAAGTCAATTTCAAAGCAGATAAAATATCTATTAATATTTATTGAAAACTAAACGTAATTACATGAGTTAATTGACTACATTAAGAGTTAAAATTGCAACAACTGAAACAAGCCCTACAAATTAGAGCATTTGGTTTGGATATAAATCGTTCAAGTTAAACAAATGCACTATTAACCAAATTTAACTATAAATAGAGTAATGAAAATTAAATTCTGAGAATATTTACAGTCTTTGCTCAAATTTAATCTAATCAGTTTTTGGGTTAACATTCAGCGAATTTTCTGCTTCTTGAAAAAAGTATATTTCCTAGAAACCGCTAGATTTTTATTTTCCTGTCAAAATCACAGCTGCAAAATTCGATTTGATTTCTATTATTAATAGTCCAGTTGCTTTTAAACTTCATCTTTTTTCACTGTCTCATGCAACTTAAATCATCCTTCAGTGGCACTATTGTTGTCTGCATTGGTCGTCAACTGTTCAATCACGCTTCCACTGTTCGAATCCACCACTGATGTTCCTTCGCCTGAAATCGAAATATTTTGATCACACCTGGGACTCGTTCCTTCGCTAATCACGACTACACTACTACTGCTCTTTGTATTCGGCTCTTCGGTTGCTACCAGAGACTGTTGTTGTTGTTGTTGTTGACTTCCTACTCGTCTGCCTTCTTCAGTTCTCTCAACGCCGTGATCAACTTCAACATCTTCATATTCGTCGTCTTCTTCTTCCTCTTCTTCTTCTTCCTCGTCTTCATCGTACTCTTCCACCTGAACAAAAAAAAGTATTCATAGTAGAAATAAATTTTGACTGAAAATCATAAAATTCAATACAATACAGAGTTGGAGCAACACTTCGCAAACAAAAGACATTCAAAAAAACTTCAGCAGATGCTTTGAAAAAGAGCAGCTGCTTTGATAACGAAAGTTCTGTCAACTTCCAGATCGATACCTCCGCATGTTGCTTAACCAATTCATGATTCTTGGAATTTTTGAGCCTTAATTGTTCATCTTTTAAAAAGGCGATAGATTACATTAGTATGTCGTCTCCATCAAAGATGGCGCAGAAATTAACAGAACTTGCTGAACTTCATACTGTTTTTTTTTTTCTGTATAAGAGCTCATTTAGTCCGGTCGGAAACCTTTAATGACTAAAGTTTACAGCTTGGTGTTCGAAAACCACATAGGAATAAACGTTTTTGCAAAGAGGCGTAATATTCTCATCCAAAGTAAATTTATTGTCATAATTATTCGCATCAAGTGTTCAAATCTTTTCTCACCGGGGAGTTTGAACTGCGGTGTATCCTCCGCTCCGGCTGAGATACATGGGCTGCCGGAGGCGTGGATGCCCTGGGGATCAATTCTCCCGCCTTCTGCAGAGTGAAATAAGCGCTGGCCGACCTTTCTAGCGCATATCCATTCGCAGTCTCATTCGAACACACATTCATGTTACTCTGCTGCATACTGTTGTTATCATTCCAGGCGTACTGGAACCCGCCATGCTGGTTGAACTGTGTGTTAGTCCCTGTTGCGGACGTTCCAAACTGGTTTCGGTTCAGTTCGGCCCTGAGCCAGTCGACAACAACTGCCCACTGGTTGCGCAATTCTCCATCGCGTCGCAGCACATCGGCTGCAGAGGGACTACATGAGAAAAGGTTTGTCAGCATTTTGATTGACAGGTAAGCGCGTCTCGCGAAGTGGGTTTTGCTTTTGTCAATTGTCTCAAACAGGCCGTCTTTTTGATCTAAAACGAAAACATTAAATTTATTCAATTCATTCAATTTTTGCACACTTTGCGATACATCACAAACATAACATGGACAAGCCAGCTGACAGAAGTCGAAAACAAAAAAATCGTCCAGAAACAATATCGAAAACTAGGTCTTCCAAAATCTAATTCGACAGAACTTGAGTATATGACCGTTGAGGCGACAAAAATCCAAGTTTCGCATCCCCGCAACACATAAGTGAAAACATAGCTAACAGACAGTTGCACGAGTCAATGAACGCAAGAAATTTAAAAAATACTGACTTGTATTTTTTGAAAAAATATCTTAACTTTCGAATTTAAAAGGAAAAAATAGATGCCCTTAAAGCTCCCTGAATTTCTATAACAATTTATGTTTGTAATTTTTTTTGATATAATTAATTTGAGAAAACTGGATCAAAAGGTAAAATTTTTATTTCGCCGGGAATTCCACTTTCGAAATTAGAAGTCGATCTTGTTTTCGTGACCTTTACACTTTTGCTGTTCGATAATTGAAATTGCTTTACTTTCAATAAAGGAAACGAACTCAACCTAAAACGCGAAACAGTGAATTTTAGACTGAACAAATTTTAAGACTTTTCCGGAAGAAAAAACAAAAAAAAATTATCGCGACCTATGAAAGAGTCTAAACATAGCCAACAAACCGTTGGAAAAAATTCAATGAACGAAAAGAAGCAGAAAAAAACTGACTTTTGAATTTCGAACTTCATAGAAAAAAATATATGGCCTTAAAGCTCTTTTTATTTCAATAACAATCCATGATTGGCATTTTCGACTCTCATTACGAGGCCAAACTGTGGTCTGGATAGGAGCACAATTTTGTGTCTGTATGTTCCTGGATTCCAGAGACAAGTCTTTAAACATGTTAAAATTTTGGCGGAACGATCAAAGAGAACAAAGGGAGCGTCCTTGTTGCGGAATCCGCTTAAAATGCACAAAATGCAGTTTGGCCTCGTAATGCTTTTTCTTTTTTCCCCCACCTGCAAATTTTTACATTTGAAGTTACTGTTCACTTTGTCCTATTGTCGTAAAACTTGACATGCAGACTAATTAGGCCATAACAAGCATATTTGGTCTTCATAATTAACCTTGTAAAACCACTCGTTAGACCATAAAATTCAAGTTTGAGAGAGGTAGGGGAAAAAAAGAGCCGCATTTTTTTTTTTGATAAAATTAATTAAGTTGGAGAAAACTGAAAAGTTAGGTAAATTTTTTATTCCGCTGGAAAACTGAAAAAAATTCCACTTCCGAAACTAGAAATGAATCACCTTTTTTCCGCCATTTCCACGTTCGTATTTGGATAGGCAATTTGACTGCCTTTTAGCAGATGAACTTCCAACTGAAAAAGTGGATAGAAACCTAAAAGCATTTATAAATGCATTAAAGGTTTGAATGCACTCCAGTAGCTATCAGAGCTTTTAAATCATCGCGACCTATATAAGAGTCTGAATTACGTTCATCGACTCTTAAAAACGTAACGCCCTTTATACAACGAAAGTTGAACCGACTAATCCGATATAAACTTTTCCAAAATTGTTGAGCCGAATAGAGCGAAAAAAAACGAAACAAAAAGTAAAGGATTATGGGATAAAAATTGGAATTGTCTTAGATCTAACATAAACACGAATTTCGATTAGAACTTAGAAACAAAAAGATAAATGCTCAGAATTTGTAGGCGAAGTCGCCAACAAAGTTCAGTCGATTTAATTCTAGCATATTTGTTAGAAAAGTCGTTCCGGTAAAAAAAATTCTTGTTCTCGATTACAAGACACTTGTTCTCGCTTATGTGTAAAGATCGTTCACGCTGAATTCTTTGAATTTACTTTTAATCACCAAAAGTCATGCAAAGAGTCCGCCTTCTAAAGTTCTAGTTCTCGATTACAAGACACTTGCTCTCGCTTATGTGTAAAGATCGTTCACGCTGAATTCGTTGAATCTACTTTTAATCACCAAAACTCATGCAAAGAGTCCGCCTCTAAGGGCAATAATTTTGATTTCATCAGCGGAAAATGATTATTTACTGATCAAATGACTACATTAACAATGAATAAAGAAATGTCGGACAAGTTTAATAACACGTTTGTTATTGACAAAACAACTCAATCTGCTTCGCCTGAAGTGACATATTACCGACACCTACCGTCGACATAATGAAAGCCAAAAAGATCAAAGGAGTATTTCAGCGTCAAACAAATGCGTTGTCATGTTTTCATCTTCGAGATAATTTTAACTCGATTATTTTTGGAGTACCCACCCGATTATATTTTACAAAGGGCAAAAACAGTTCATTGAAAGTTTTTATGAAGTTTCGTTCTAATGAAAGACTCGTGGCCTGTATGAAGTGTTCGCGTTTTTAATGCCCTCAAGCGCGGCTTAATCGAACTCTAAATTGAAATACAAAAAAAATCGTATAAGTCTGGCGTGCACAAGATTTTGGACGTGTTTTTGTTGCGCGCTTTCCCTTAAAATAAGTTTAAATTAGTGTTCAACGTACATTTGGATAAAATTTATGGCCAGTTTGTCCAACGATTTGTATCATAAAACATAGCCTACAGAGTTGGAAAAGAGTCAAAGAACGCAAGAAAACAGAAAAAAGTAATGACTTGTTTTTTGAAAAAAATCTCCTTTCGAATTTCGAAGAAAAAAATAGATGGCCTTCTTTGAATTTCTAGAACAATTTATGGTAGACACTTTTTTTCATAAAATCAACCCAATTTGAGAAAACCAATTGAAATTACAAGTCTAACCTCAAAAAACTAAATACGAGCCTGAAAAAATCATCGCGACCTATAGAAGAGTCTGCACTACGTTCATCGACTCTAAATCTACCAAAGATACCAAAACAAACATATAATTTTAAAAAATTTATTAGAGCAATCGGTCTCCTCGCAACACCTCGTTCCAAAAAGCCTCGCCTGAATGCTACCAACCTTGTTTTTTCTGCGATCCTCCTTTGAGACTCTTGATGATTCTGTGCTGCTGCCATGAGTCTGGGATCTTGAGCACCTCTAGAAGCAAGTCCAGATATGGCTTCAGATCCGTCGAATAGGCAAAGGTTATCTGCCACAAAATGTCTGTCAGAAGGGCGGCAGAGAAGCCCGCGTTCTCCCACGATAGAAACTGAACAGAAACAAAACAATTCATTAGATGTGAACAGTTTCCCCTAATTTAAACAAGATATATATTAACTAGGCCCTTTAAAAAAACTGGAAAAAGATGGACGAATTTTTTATTTTCAGACTATATTTTGACACAATTGACGTTAAATTGCCATGCCAAGTAAAAGACTAAGTTGATGCATTACTTTCAATGTTAATTGAACACTGTTCAAAAGTCTTGAAGATTATTTTTTGTAACTCCCTCCTCCATAACGCCTCGCACAAGACTTTTTAATCAGAAAGAAATTGTTCTTTTTTCAAGCACATAACTGTAGTCGGAACATTCTCTGCCACTTGCACAGCAGCTGGATATTCTTTCTTCATTTATTTTCTGCTAACTGGTGAATGAATCAGTCAATTTTTGCATACTCACACAAATGAGCGAGACTGTCTCGTCCGAATTGGGACACTCCTCGATGATGCGCTTCACGTAGACTGTATCGTCCAGGAGTCGCTCCTTCAATGCCACAGATATCGGGACTCCCACAGACATCTCTTTGTCCCTGTAGGGATTCGACAGATGGTACTGCTCTCTGGTTACCTACACAAAACACATATTGAGATAGATTACAAATTACAAGATCCACTTAGAAGTTTCTTCCGGACTAAATTAGCTTCTAAACTGCCACAGTGTAGGCAACTTCGATTACAAATTGAACTTTAGTTGAACTCGTCCATTTGAATCCTGAACTTCATAATTAACAATCAACATCCATTTTAATCCTTCTAGTACGGAAATCTGAATTGATGGCTCTATGCTTAGTAACTTTCATTCTTCAGACCATTTTTTCAAAAAAACACTCAGCATAACAGTTTCCTTCAAGGCCACTTAGGTTGTAGTGTTGCAAGAAATCAACTTAAAGTTTATAGGCACAAATTAGGTATACTGAGTATGAAACGATTCAATTGCCAAAATTAGATTGAATGAAAAGTACCTCTTTGCCACTGGATGACTGACAGTAGTACGACAAGTCACAGCCCCTCACTAAATTGGACACCACCTGGTAAAGCTTAGCAAACTCTGACAACTGGTATTTCACATGGGATCCCGCACTGCTACTGCAAGCCTCCTCCAACATCAAATTAATCATGGCCAGTGGAATCTCTCCTCCATTCTTTAGGAGCTGTCTTCGTTCCTTGGGTCCGAAGGAAGCGTAGTGGAGATAAAAATGAAAATAATGACTCAAGTGTTTCCCGGGAGAGCTTAATGATGCTATGGATGTCGTGGCTGCGTCCAACGCTGTGCGCACGTGGTGGTCTTTCCGCATTAGTTGAGCCATTTCATATATGACACAATCACTGATTCGGATTTCTAAAAAACAGACCACATCCGGGATCTCTCAAAAGGGATTTTCAGAAACTTCTTAGAACTAGCGAAGCATCATCGAAGTTCTATGCAATCTGCTGTTTTATTGAACTTAAACTAAACTTCAAAAAAAATTTCTCGAAAGGTCGGATCATTCTGAAACAACTAGAAACCCAAGAACAATTTTATAAGCTCTGATATTTTTTCATGAAAACTTCTCACCATTTGCTATATAATTTCACATGAACTCGACACTGAAGCATGGCGCTGTCTGAAGTTACGAAACTAAAGGTGATGCTAACTGTCGCATGTCTGTAATGCAGATGGAAACTGAAAGTTTACTTACGTCTGGTTCCATCGTCGTAGCCTCCGTACGAGACAAAAGTCTGGTCAAAATTTGAGAAGTGACACAGACATACAAGAAGCTTCACGAATGCTTGTCGTACTTCAGCCGAGGGTGACTCCAAGACATATTGACCAATCAAGTGTTTGTGCTTCAGAACCCAGTTCTCTGCAAGCCAGTGTCTGGTACTTGCCACGTGCTTCAAAAGACCTATCATTAAATCAGTCCACTCCATAGCGGGTCCTCGGAGCGCTTTTTTCGTATGAAGAGCAGTGTTGAACACTACGTTGCAGAGAAGTTGCATCGATATGATTCCAAAGTCCTCTGCGACTGTGGTTGGCATACCATTGGAATCCGATAGCTCTCTCAAGTCAACAAGGTACGATGCCTGACATTGTAAAATCAGACTCTTGATGAAGTTCAAATATTCGGGCATGAACTGAACACGATTATGCGCGAATAAGACAGTTTGGCGTTGAACAGCCTTCGCAATAGCTTCAGGCATTTTGGGCTTTGAATCAGCTTGTTCAATCCTCGCGGTATTATAGCCTTCGTCAGGTTTAGTTCTCGAATCGATATTTGGATTGCTGGTTGTTTCAGAAGTGGATGACGGTTCAGCATCGTCGTTCAAGTCTTTTCGTTCATATACCAGAAGATAGGCATTCCACCACCGTTTTTGCCTTCGACCGGCTGAAACACGGCCAGTTGTAACTAATAACTATAAATTCGTTTCAGGTGAGGTTATTATATTATAACAAAAGTAACATTTAACGTTCTATAACAAAATCATCACTTTTAGAAAATCATCACTGTTTTCAGGCGACTCAGACACACCTAATTATTTAACACTAATCAGAACTAGCTGCCTTTTCAAAGATACAGCTCGCCTCTTGAACTAATACGAAAAAAGGAAATTAGACTTACATGAAGATGACCTTCTGTTGAAATTTGAAGATTGCTCAAATGAAAACGAGGTGGATGAGCTATCGCCTCCCCCTCCCGATGATCCAGGAGTAACAGTGCTGTCCCCACCAAACCACTGATTCTTCAGCAGTTCGTTCACACTTTCATCATCATCATCTATAACCTGCAGTTCTGAGACATCTCCGTCGTCAAACTTGAACCATTTACCAGCTGATGATGAGGCAGGATTTGCCGACGATAGAGGACCCCGCTGGCGACACTGGATGTAGCTGTTGTAGTGACCTCCCGAGGCCTGTCCGCTATGAACCACGACTCCCATCAACTTGTACATAAACTCAGAAGAGTCTTTATTTCCACTCGCCACGTTTATTCCCTCATTTTCAGCCTCATTAGAATCTAGCTCTGGTTCCGGGACTCTTATTGTAGATGTTGGACTGTTGACTGGCATCTGGTCCAGGGATACTGTGGATGGAATGGAAGACGTGGAGGGCGATGGCAGGTCTGGGGGTGTCTCGAAAGAGTCATCCCTGATTATTTCACCTAAATTAGTGCTTGAAAATCATTTAGAAACATATCGAACATAGCCAATCGAAGATCGGCAAAGAGTAATAAACGCAAGTAAACAAAAAAAAACTTTCATGAAAAAATCTCAACTTTCGAATTTCAAAAAAAAAAAACAGATGCCCTTTACGCTCTTTGAATTTCTAGAACAATTTATGATTTTCGCTTTTTTGATAACATGAACCCAACTAGAGAAAACTGGATCACTACGTAAAATTTTTATTCCGCTGGAAATCTAAAAAATAAATTCCCTTTCCGAAACTAGAAATTATTCAAGTTTTTTTATCGCCATTTCCACGTTCGTATTTGGAGTATGCTCTTTACGTCACTTTCAGCAGATTAATTTCAATTGAACTTAAAATCCATTTATCCATAAGAGTTTTCTATTACATTAATTGAACGGTATATGAAATCAATTTTCAAGTTATTTTTCACTAAAAAGGTCAGAGTTTTATCACATGTGAAATGTTAACTCAAAAAAGGACACTTAAAAGCAGAGAGCACACAATTGCACTTTCCATTTTGTTTTTCAAAAAAAAAACAGTATTAACATCAATCAGGTTTTCATTGAAAAAAAATTCTTTACTATACAGAAAATTTTTCAAAAAAATAAAAGCATTATATCTGGAAGAAGAAAATTGAAAAGTTGAAATAGAAGATAAAGTTGCAATTCCTAGGAGTTCCCTGAGAGCAATACAAAATTTGATTGAAAATTTCAAGTAGTAGGTTTTTTAAATCTGTTTTTTTAGAAAAAAAACAAGATAAAAACAAAATGATACGCTTCAATTCGGCTGTTTAAAGGCATTCATGAGTCAAAGTGGAAACCATATTTGCAACAACTGAGTGTACTCTGAAATCATCTCACCTCAGATGAGTTTCAACTTCAGTTAGTTTTTTTTCATATCTAAGTTTCTAAAAAATTAAAAATATAAAAAACGCCTTCTCGGAAATCAAAAGTCTGTGAGCATTAATATTTGGAGGCAAGATTTTACGCCCCTGAGTATAGCTCGATAGAACCCCACCCACAGAATTAGGAAACTCAAATTTAATTAGCTTTTTCGATGTTTTTTTTAAATGAAAAACGACATATCTCAAAAACGAAAAGGATTTGAGCAGTCATAATTTGAGGTCAGAATTGCAGCCCCATAGTGTATGTATCCTGAGAGCATCCTACCATGGGTTTACACTTTCAAAATCGGTTAGTTTTATTCAACTAATTTTTTTTGAAAACAAAGTTCGAAATATCACAAAAAAAACCCTCATCACGAAAACCAAAAAATTCGAGCATTCAAATTTGGAAGACAGAAAGGCAACCCCTGAGAGTACCCTGACAGCAATTAAACATAGGTTTGAGAATTTCAAGCTTAATAAATTTTTTTAGCTAAGTTTCGATTTAAGGATAGGGTTAAAAAGTTCAAGAACAGTTAGTTTTTAAATCTGACATTTCAAAAAAAAAATCGGAAAAATCATGCACAAAGCCATATCTCCAGCCAAAAGGACTTGAGAAGTAATATTTAAAGTCAATCTTACAAACTGTGAGTTTAAGTGGACAGCACTCTACCATAGGGTTGAGAAACTCAGTCTCGATAAGTTTTTTTTCAATGAATTATTTGAAAAATTTTGAAAAAAATGAGCAGCCATCTTTACAGGGCACAATTGCACCCACATAGTGTATCCTGACAGCGCCACACCAAAGGGCTGAGAAATTAAAGTTCTGAATGATTTTTTTAAATCTATAATTTTTGAAAAAATATTGAAATAACCATAAACAAACGCCATATCTCGGACACCAAGAGGATTGGATCAGCAATACTTGGAGGCTGGGTGTACCTTAACAGAACACCACCATTTGAATGTCAAATTTTTGTCAATTTTGTCGAATATACACTGAAACGAAAAGCTTCAAAATTTTGCATTGCGAAAGAATGAAAAAAATGTACAGTTAAAGCATTCAGGCTTCAACAGATATATGGTTAAAATAATAGACGACCTTGGAAATTAAAAAATTGCATTCATTAAAACATGTTGAGCAATGCAAAAAATAGAATTTTTATTAAACATGCCAACATACGAACTTCTTAAACATAAGTCAAGTGAAACGCCAATTAAAACATAACCAACTGCAATTTGGAAAAGTGAAATGAAAGCAAGAAAACAAAAAAGGACTTTTCAATTTCAAATAAAAACTTAAGGCCCCTGAAGCTCTTCGAATTTCATGAAGAACTTATGATTTGTTTTTTAAGGAAATTTACCCAATTTGAGAAAGCTGGATCAAAGGTTAAAAGTTTTTTTTTTCGCTGGAAAAACTGATAATTAAGCTCCAGTTTCGGAATTAGAAGTCGATCACGTTTTTTGATGACCTTTACCTTTTGCTTTTCGATAAAGGAGTTTGCTTTCCTTTTATCAGCAGAAATAAAGTAACTTAAACAGAAATCAAAAGTCAAACCGCCAAAAATCTAATTTGAGCGTGAAAAAATTTTGAGACTGTTCCTTAGAAAAAACAAAAAAATCACCAAGACTTATAGAGCACTCACTACATTCATTACTCTTAATACTGCAAAGATAGATTAGATTAGTCATTATATCAGTAAAAAGGAATTCACCCTCGATCTTAGCCAACCCATCTACAGTGTAGGGTTCGATGTCCAGTTGAAAAGGGAACTCGAAATAGTCGTTGAACTTGATGGCACAGTCCCTCTCCCAATCATAATCAAACCGCTTGAGTTGAATGATCAATACTGGGGGTGCTTTCTTGATGCACATTCGCTTAACCGTATCAACCTTCTTCCCGCACTTCTCGCAGAAATAGGCATTATCTCCCTCTAGCAGATCACCTTTCACGTACTGCTCAAAGGAATCCTTGAGGGTCTGGTTGTTCCTGATGTCGACGCTCAAAGTCGTGAAGGGTTCCTCGCGGGAGTACCTATGTGGACAGTCTTTACATATTTTCTGGTCGGCAAAAGATCCTCCGATCGTCGATGAAAATATTGAGGACAGATTGCTTGGGGAAGTTTCAGAAACCAATGAGTTCATATGTTTCGTCGCTTCATCAACACTATCAACTATGCTATTCAAAAACTCCAATGCGTCTTGTTGTTCCCGAAGATTAACTGGCTCACCCGCAAAACGAAAGTGTTTCCAGAATCCTTCCGGAGTATAAAACTGCAATTGGCTAGCCGCCAAATATCCAAAAATCACTTGGAGGTATTTTAAAACGTCAACGTGATATTGAACTCTAGGGTTAATATTAGTTGCCAAGGTCAGCTGGGTCGACAAACTTGAAGAGAGCGACGCTAGGTCAGAGTTGGTCTCGACTCCCGAATCGATCTCGGGTCCGTGTTCATTCGAAGACAAGGACGTCGGTGAGGAGCATTTGGCCGACAATTTGTTCAAATCGGTTCCAAGTCCACAAGCAATAGCAGCGGCATGGTCGCTTTCAAAGTAATCATCTGCAACACCTTCGATTCTCAGGATTCCATCTCTTATCTCAGGAATCATAAAGAGCTGCTGAATCACCGAATTCATGTAGCACGTAGCTCCAGCGTTCTTCAGGCCCACAAAACCTCCGAGAGGCTTGCATCCGATCGGCGGCTGGAACTCCCATTCTGAAATAGTGGTGACGTTTCTAGAGTAGAAATACTTCTGGAGCAAAGCTATAAGGAGTCTGTAATTTGTAAAGTTTATTCCACACAGAGCAACTAGAAGTTGGAACGCCGCATTTTGCGTCATGCTTTGATCGCAGATCGGCTCTGCTTTTGACAATGATCTGAGCGGAGTTCTTTGAGGAGATGCACTGCTAGCCGATTGTTCGTCTGCCAAGTGAATGGTCGCAGGAAATAGAAAATGGCAGAAAAGATCCTGAAACAAGAATACAGCCTCAACATAATTGAAACCCACTATTTCAGCTTCTTAGCTTCCCGTTCCCCCTCTTGAAAACGTGTTTTTTTTTCTCGAAGCAATATAAAGACTCACCTTGATTAAGAGCGACAGCTGACGAGGAGTATTGTTGTCATTAGGCTCACTAAGGCCACAATTCTCAAACAAAACCAACTCGCGACACAAATTCAGACGCCCACAAAGGTAGAAGTCATTAAGCTTTTCAATTACTTTCCTCCCATTGCCATTATCTGATTCTGTGGTTGGAGACTCGATACAGAAGCTGTTTTTCACTTGGTTTATAAACGCTATCTCCTCTCCAAGGTATCGGCCAAGTTTAGGAACTTGGATCCGCAGACATCGAGCGTACTCCAGGAGTTTGCAAATGAGGTCAAAAAACGAGTCACTTCTCTCTCCGTTTTCCTGACATGCGTTTCGAATTTGATCAAACAGGAGGGAGATGAAAAAATTCACTATGTGACAACTTGACTGTACGTGAGCGTGTGTGGATAGCATCAAAATCTGTCGATAGCAGTTAAGTCTTAGCTCTCTTTTGCTACATTTTAGAAGCATTTGTTGAATCAGAAGGTTCCAATGTTCTGCTTTTAGCACCATAGTTTCCAACAGGGTTGGATTTAGGACAAAACATATAGTCAGAACTTGCAAACTTTTTGAAGACAAAACTGCAACTTGTCTGGCTGAACTATTCGACGTCGTCGTTTCTTCTGAATTATCATCGCTCGTTTCCAGAATAGATTCATTGGGCTTTGTCGCACATGTGGAAACGGACATTTTATACAAAGCAAGTATATGTTTCTCAGTTGGAATATGTTCCTTTAATTGCGATACAGTTGGATATTTCATCAGCATTGGGTTGACCATTTCAGATGCAACTTGACGCAGAATAGTTTCATCTAGAGACGCAGGAACTGATTTTAATGCTTGCTCTAGACTGAGGACATTGACACCCATTTGGGACTCGAAGTCTTGTCTGGTCATAGACTCTGAGCTATCTCCGGAGGAGCAGCAAGGAACTACAGACATCAAAGAGCTGCTGGTCTCGAAGATGTTGTGGGATTTGTAGAGTACCGAGAAGCCAACGAGGCAATATAATAATTTGCAGATCTTCACAATAACTGTTTTTATTGCTCTGAAACGAAAAACACTGAAATATTAGCCAAAAAAGAATGAAGCACTTTTTAAATTTAATAAACTTACCTTTGAAGAGGTACGAAAGAACTGCCGCAGCAGTCAGATGTCAGCATTCCAAGAATGATTTCAACGCCATCGGCTGCCACAAAATGACACTGAAACAAAACAACGACTAAATTATGTGCCAGGGGAGTTGTTTTTGTTTGCTAAAGAATTAAACATTACTACTGCCAACAGGCGGTAAAATCTGTCACTGAACCAAGTAGACAGAAATTTATTTTTCCATGAACATGTTTTCAATAATTTTGACTCAACGTCATAAATAAATGAAAATGATTTTTTTGAATGACAAAAAAAAATTGAACCCGAATTGATAACATTCGTAATCAAATCCACCCAATTTAAAACTAATGCAATGCTTTTAAACACGAGCGACTTAAGAGTAAATCCAAATGTACTATCGGAGAAACCAACTTTGTCTTTCTTTTTTTTTCGAATCGCAATTAGAGAATCACGCTAAAAATAAACCTCATACAACTCGCGCCCATTTTGACTGGTCAGACATATTAAACTTACTCTGAATTGTTGGGCAGCTGGCGAGAAGGGATCGAGGGACGGTAGAAGCAGAGTTCTGAGCACCTCCAAGTAATAGAGCACTTGGTTGGGGGAATTAGACAGGAACAGAGATCGCACCGGGGGCATCAAAGACTGCGAGGGGTCAGCTCCTCCGCCGTGGTCCGCACAAACCTCCCGGATGCGGTCGACAACATGGGAGTCGCAAGGCAGAATTGATATTAGACTCCTGATGGTCTGAAACAGCTGAGTTGCAGTCGAGTCCTCACTTTCGACCTCATCATTGCACAGGGCCAGTTTCGAAACCCAATCGGCAACATGCAATAGTAGCTGTACATGTTCATTTTGTTGACTAAATATTGTAGATGGTAAAATGTTCTCTGCGCTTTGAATTGTCGTACTTTGAGTCGGGTTTCCAGATGCTGTCCTCGAGGAACTCGAATTATACGGAGGGTCTGAGCCAGTAACCGTTTCTTCTTCGTCGTCACTTGACAGTGCAATAGCCGTGGACGTTGAGGCACTTCCAGCTCCTATACCATGTGCTACATTGGCCGAACATGACATAACTTTAGCTAGCACTAGACTTCTCTGGCTCAGATTATAACTAGCTAATGTTGTCGAGTCAAAACAGCTGTCGATTACTGAATTGCTGAAACCGATTTCACAGAGAGCGCTCAGTGGTGTGTAGTTAAACTTCTGCAAAATCAATTTGCGCAAATTTCCAACTGCTGCGTTCGTGTGAGTAGCAATTGAAAAATCATCCACTTGTTTATTTGAGTTCATAATTCGCACCATAAGAACCAAATAGTTCCCGCAACAAGCTCGGTTAAGCGCTATAAATCTTCGCTCAGCTTGATACATTGAGTCAGTTTTAGAGATAAATTCCCTGAGCGCTGTCAAAACCCGGATCATTTTCACTTTAAAACTTTCCCTATTCATTAACTCCGAAACTTCTCCGTTATCAGCCGACGATTTTGCCGAGGTGAAAAACTGCTTAAACCAATTCATACACTGACTTATGAACTCGTGGTAAGTCTTCACAGCTTGTGTTTTGAGTTGCGGAGCTAGACTCGTGTAGGTGTCTATTAGTATTTGGACCGCTTTCGTAGCCAAACTATCGTTACAGTTGATTATAATTTGCCACAAGTAGTAATAACCGAGCAGATTTGTATCCATGAGCACATAACCGTGCTTATTCCTCGATGTCTTACGAAGTTTGTTGGCCCTGTAATTTACAAACTTGAAAAAATGTTCAAAGCATTCAACTCCTTCTTGGCACAAAAGTCTGGCCTCCAGGTGCAGAACTTTTTCCGTAAAAAACTGTTGACAAATTTCCGGATCCAAATCCGGTTCGTCTTCTCCTATCAGTTTTGAAAACCAGCGAAAACAACACTGTCTGTCTTCTTCGTAAATTGCGCTTTCACACAGACAGTGCCATATGTCTACAGCTTGAGCCAGACAAAGCCAGAGTTGTCCGTCTTTCAGAACAAAACACAAAAAATTCAACCTTTCTTCAACTTGTTCTAAATGCGAGTATCGAGTTCCTGTTCTTCGCTCATTGGGATCAAGTGCCAAATTCTGTCCAATTTCGACAAAATACTTCATTCTCTGCATGTACTCAGTTAAACTATTCGCAACAACAGTCACTAAAGAGTGTTTCTCTTGAATCGAGTGGATCAATTTGTCTCTGTACAAAATATTCAGGGCTATTCTTGATTGCGAAAAACTGTTTTGCTGGGAAGACGACAACGAATTGCCCTCGGGAAACTGCCGACAAATTATTCGGATCATACGAAGTGACAGAATAACCCAGTCATCGTTATTCGGGTGTTTCAGTTGTTCGATGAAAGTTTCAATCCACATAACTTTCTGCTGATCTCGATTTTGCGAAACACTGCAATCTAAAATTTTGATATGAGCACACAAAGCTAAGTCTACAATTTCAGCCGCACAATTTTCTTCACTTTTGGCCAACGTCCAAAGCAGCGAAAGGACCTTCTGGGCCATTTCGCCCTCTTTGTCATCTTCGGCTAACTTTCGGATCAGTGAGAGGAGCTTCTCTCGTTGCTTTCGGCTATTTGCACTATGCCAGCTTTCTTTAAACTTCGTGAACAAATGATCCAACTGTTCAGCAGAAAAATCCCACGCCAACTTTGTAAGCAACTCGTGTACGTTTTTAGCAATTGCTTCGTGTTTTCCGACTTGTGCGTTCCACGTTGAGTCCAAGTCTTTGAGAGTGAGAGTCTTTTCCTTGATGGCGAACCGGATGATCTTTTCCAGCTTGTCGACATACTGCGGTTGGTGCAGATTGTCTCGCAGAACTATCGTCAACACATCATTCTCCGACAGCCAGTTCTAAAACATAATAAACAGCTAGTTGCAAAAGCGTCAATGAACACAACGAAGCAGAAAAAAATTACTGATTTATAACTACTCATTTTCGAATTTCAAAGACTTAATGACGCGAAAACGTTTTCAGAAATTTAGCGGAAAAAAATAAAATCAAACCACGCGACCTAAAAAGCGATAACCACTCCTCCGTTCATTAAAATTTCAACAAGACTTATTGTTCCGACTTTCGAGGAATATTTATGGTCGGAGTGTTTTTTATTCAGTCAATTTTCGCCGATCGAAACAATAGTTTTCATCAAACATTATCTGTACCCCATTGAAGATATTGACTTCTTGACCTCAAATAAAAAAAAAAGATATTCTGCCCCCATAATTTTTTGTAAAGTTCTGGGAATTCGAAAAATGCCAAATTGGCCATGTTCTGGACAAAATTATGCGCGCTTTGAAGAAATTATTTATATTGCTGAGAGCGTAACGCGAATTATTTATGCGTTGCAAATTATCCCGCACAACAAAATCGTTCCAAATTGAATTGAGGCTAGCTAATCGGATCGGTTGTTTTAATTTCGTATGACTCGAAATTTCACACTTTGATATTGGCCAATCTTTATAGATTTTCGATTCCCAAAAACTATTCCATATGAATTAAGGGATAGTCGGAACATTCAGGGCTTTGCCCTGATATACGAGCAATCTTGTTCTCATATATACTCATTTAAGTTCAATAGAAACCAGCTGAATTTGAAACCAATATTCCTCAAACTTCGCAGTGAACACAAAACTCTAACACAGAGAAAGAGCGGATCTTCGTATCCCGTGCAACACACTGCAAGTGTAGCATTGCAAGCTAGCGAAAACAAAATGAGTTGGAAATAATTAAAACAATTTGACTTTTTTGGAAAGAATGAAAAGCAGTATTTCAGAAAAACAGCTAAGAAACAGAACCACCATCCTTAAATAAACTTTAAGTATCATAAACCGAGCTGTCACAAAGATGGCAATTTATTGGTTTCGTCGATTAAGCAAAAAAATGCAAAAAGGAAATATTGAGCAATTAAGTTTCAAAACTAAGCTTTTACACCACAACCATCCTGAATTTTTGACAAAAAATTATCATTTTTGCCTTTCAAGCGACACAAACCAATCATTTTCTGACTGAGCCCATAAAACATGATCCAATTTTTTAATCGAAATCAAAAAACCTTAATCGAAATCTGAATTGGTAAATTGACATAAAACAAACCCTCTTTACAAAAAAAAAACAATTTCAAACTATGGAAATCAGAAATTAGGCCAACAAAACACCAAATAAAAATCGCTTGATTCAAATTTTTTCTATTGATAAAACTCGATCAATTATATAGTATGGCAAAAAAGCCAAAAGGAATTGCTGAACAAAAAAAATTGAAAGATTAAGTTTTAAAACTCTGTTAGTCCCCTCTTTTGAAACTTATACTCCACAGCCGTTCCGAAATTTTATTTAAAAAAATTAACAAGTTCATTTTCTGCCTTTTTGACAAACTTAACCCAATTTGAGAAAACTGGATCAAAAGGTAAATTTTACATTCCGCTGAGAAATCTGCAAATTAAAATCCACTTTCCAAACTAGAAATTGAGCACGTTTTTCTTGACTTCTATACTTTTAGTGTCCAGTAGAAGAATTTCAAATGAACTCAAGAAGTGCATATATACCTAAAAGCATTCATAAATGCAATAATAAGTATGAATGCACATCTGTAGCTATTAGAGCTAAGACTTTTTTCTCAAAAAAAAAAAACAAAAAAAATCACACTGCGTTCATTACTATTTAAAAAACTTAATCAAATTCCGAATTGGTAAATTGACAAAAAAAAAACAGATCGACTGTCATTTAGTATGAGAATTGTTTAACTTGGAAAACGATTTCAACTTTTGGAAAATAAGCCAACAAAATACAGACAAACGAAAGTCGCACAACTCAATTTTTCCCTCTAACAAAATAATAAATTCATTAAGCCTGAAAAAATTTCAAACGAGACATGAACCCCAGACCTTAGAGTGCAAATTCAACCACGGTACCTCTAGATCAAATGGCAAGGAGCATGGATAATCGTTAAGTTCAACATAGAGACGCAGCTGCTCTTCGCAAACACTAAACGGAAAACGACGAAAAAGCAGTTCTATAAAACAGGCAAGCCTTGAAAATTAAAACGTTTGCTGTGGAGAGTCCCATGCCTACGCATCTGCGCCACGCGCCTTGACAATTTACTAAAACTAGCCGCAAATAAAGCAGCGAAGTATGCTAGTAAATCTGGAATGCGATGCAGCAGAAGTGGCAGCATATACAAATAGACACAACTTTGCGTGTAATATATAAACATAATAAACTTAAAGCATCCAGGATTATTTAAAAAAAAAAAAATTGAAAAACCAAACCAAAATATAATTAAATAAGCATTTCAAAACAAACGCGATATATATTGAGTTGGAAATATTAAGAAATCGAGTTTTTCTTTGTACTGTTGTTTGAGACAAAGATTTTTTTGCTGCATCAACTGTGACACCTTGTTACTGATCGAATAGCAAAGTACATGCTATCAAAAAGTCGTAAAGGAGCCACCAAAAGTGGCAACAATATTGGCGAGTTTGGTTGAAAAAGAAAAAAAACAAAGCTTCATGAAAAAGTTGGTTACGAGAAAATTCTAGTTCCCGATTACAGCTCTTATTCTGGCACGTGTAACTATTCCAACATAGCCAACAGAAGACTCGAAAAGTGCAAAAAAGGAATCGGGAAAAACATAATACCAGGTTAAAATCTCTCGGAATGTCAAAAAACTGTAAATGATCAGCACTTTTTTCTTGAAATAAACCCAATTTAAGAAAAATGGGCTCTTTTTCCTTCCCCCCCCCCACCTGCAAATTTTCACATTTGAAATTTCCGTTCACTTTGTCCGATTGTCGTGAAAATTAGCATGCAGACTAATTAGGCCATAACAAGCATATTTGGTCTTCATAATTAACCTTGTAAAACCACTCGTTAGACTATAAAATTCATGTTTGAGTGAGGTGAGGTGGGGGCGGGGGGGGGGGGGGGACGGAAGGAAAAAGAGCCAAAAATGGATCATTTGACGATATTTGGCATAGAACTCTCCGTCGACTGCCGTTTTTGTGAAGATTGAAGTTTGGCCAAAAATCCTGATTTTTGCGATGCCTTACCTTAAAATGAGTATTCATTGATACCACGAGCGCCTTCAGAAAAAAGAGAGCTGACCAACCGGAAATGGCGGTCATAAGAAAGCATCACAATGGTTTTGGAAAAATTGGCAATCGGAACTGAGAGGGAGGTGAGAGGCCCCCCCCCCCCCCACCCCGCCTATCTTCCAACAAATAGCGATCATAAAATGGAAAAGATTCGAAGTTGTTTTGAGCTTACAGCCAGTTTTCTAGAAGGTATCGAATCAATGGACATCAATGCATTGCTATTGTAGAAGGAAGAGTTAGATGACTCGTAGCCACCACTCCCATTTACAGGTGTGGGCGTGGCAGACTGCAACATCTTGTTGATTTCAATCAACGCATTCATTTTTCCATTGAATGAAGAAACTCGCAACAACCTGAAAACAATCTAACTTTGAACTAGACATATACGCGGGGCAATTAAGGGACAAATAATTACTTATTTTAAATCTGATGGGCTAACAATGCAATTTATGCTCAAAACTTTCCTTAGATGATCAAAATACTGTAGGCGATTCCGTCACAAGGTATCTTTTGGAACTTTATCTAACTCAACGGGATCTTAAGATGAAGAATCTTTTACCATTTAACCGAAAATGAACGAATAAATGTGCAACCTTAAAATCATTTCCAGCCGCAAGGCAGTAACATCAAGTTGTATCTCAGCTGGAATCGAACTCGCACTGCTATGCTCAGAATCCGGTTGCGAATTGCGGCTCAGCAGAATACTGTACTGCCGCTGGATTCTCTTCATGGTTGTCAGAATAACTGAGATGTGGTCAGTTTTAGTCTCCGAAGACACTTTAGACTCTTTCTTCAGGTCAGCATCTGAGATGTTGAGCAGAAAATTATTTGCTATCGAGAGAATAGGCACGAAGTAGGTTGTAACACAGAAGTTCGTCAAAACATCTTGACAGTTTGAGAACGGCTTCATGAGCGCTGCTAGAAGTGCCACCGATAAAGAGTCTGTTTTCTTCACCCGGTTGATCAGCAGGTCAAATCCTTTCAGATAGCCGAAACGATTGATAAGGTCAGCTAGCCATCCCTAAAGACATATACTTGAATGAAATAACGAAAGGAAGACACATGACGTGCTCAATATTTGAGAAATACTAATTCGTCAAAGTCAATTAGAAGAAGAAGTAATCATTATTTTTAAATGCTCCTAACTTCTCGGATCATTTTCACAATTAGGCCAACAAAAACGAATACCTTTACAATAATTATCGATAATTCGTCTAACTCAATTAGGAAAAAATGTAATCATTATTTTTAAATGCTCCAAATTTCTCGGATCACTTTCACAATTAGGCCTGCAAAAATGAATACCTTTCCAATAATTATCGATTATAGCAATGCGATGGTTGATGGAAGTTATTTGTATCTGCACGCAATCACTCAAACGACCATGTTTTTCATGTGACTCATATTTCCTCTTTAAATCAGAGAGCGATGACTGACCTTTGGTGCGCGATTGTCGTAACAGGTGGCATACTTCAGAGTGGCTCTAGTGGCAGTCGGAGATCCACCCGACCTTTGGCCTTCGTTTTCTTCTATCTAAACACAATATGGAAGAAACAATTCAACGGAATTATGCTCAGAGAACATTCGAGATACTTGAAGTTGTTATCGAACTCAACTATGTACGAGTAGAAAGTGCTTCCACCAACGCGAAAAGGAAGAAAGACACTAACAAATGCCGCATCTAAAGACATCCAAGAAACTTCACTTTTACTTTCATTAATCGGATATTTTAGAAGTGAACCTAAAAACAGGGATAGAGTAAAAGAGTTTATTAATGTTTAATAACAAACACTACTCCCCAAATGGTTAAAAACGTCTGATTGGTTAAAGGACGCTCTGATTGATTAAGAACTTCTGTCTTGAGACCACTTGCGATAGCATTATTATCATCCTTTCTTTATTTAGATACCTCTTCTTGTTCTCACAGGTGTTAGTAGATAGATACATCCTCCAATTGCGTTGTTTCCAATGGTTCATTTCTATGATTTGTTACATTGCACTTCATCGTAAATTAATCGCGATATAAGGCTCGAGCCAGTTAAAAACATCAGATCTCTTTTGCTCCTCGCCAACGCGACCCTCGAATGGTACATTAGCAGGGGAGCTTAAGAGCGGAATACAGATCTTTGCTCAAACTAAGAACTTTTTCAGGTTTTGGGAGTAAGAGATCTGAGGGTAAATACTCATTCCACACTTATTTTCGCGGCAGGCAATTTCAAGTTCTTTGTCGAGTTTTTGTACACTTTGTTCAGCGGTTTCGCTTTTTTTCAGACCATCCAATTATTTTCATCATTTCTACTTGGAAATTTTCATTCTTATATAATGTAACCAGTCTCTTCATTCTTCTTCAATTTCAAATCAATTCCCATCTGAGCCATTCCGTTCAAATAGATCATTTGTGACTCCCATTACAGCAAATTTTTAAACATTTTTGCTTTTTAGATCTTTCGTAACATTCTGACTGGTTAATGCGTTAAGACCAGCTCCGGGACAGGATACCACAATTGTATCTTTCAGATAACAGCCCTTCACAATTAGTGAACGGCTGTTATCTGACATAGCTTTCGAGCTAACAAAAACATAGCACACCAATATAGCTTTTTCGCTAGCAGACTAAGGAAACGAAAACCACCAACTAAAAACAATGAAAACATTTCAATAGCAAATTTGTTCCCAAGCAATACAATCAGCGACGTGAAATAAGTATTCAGAATAACTAGCCAGCGTCACATAAGCCGATAAAACTTGTAAGCTTTCAGTGAGCCGAAAACAAAAAAATTCTTCTTAGGAAAATCTTTGAGCTAAAGTTCTGAAAATCTACGTTTGTTTTATTTTGTATGTTTCAGGTAGGGGGATTAATTTTCTTTTCAAATTAAAAGAAAAATAAAAAATTTAAAAGGAGTAAATCAAAAACACTTGCTGTTTCAAAGGAATGGGCTTGCAGTACAAGGAAATCTCATGATGTAACAACTAACCCGGCAAAACAATAAGACAAACTATACAATTTTTTTTGGAACGGGAACCAGTTTTAAAAAAACTTTCTTGACCGGTTTCGAATTAAGGCCCTTTCTCACCCCAGGAGCATTCGCTAACTCTAGGCCAAGTGTGCCTGGGATGTCAAAAAATTTAAACTTATTGTACCTCTAGCTTTGAAATGGTTCAAGCCTTTTTATTTAACAAGTTGTTACCCTGACAAAAAGTCTACTCTCGATTTGATGACGTTTGCTAAACGCGTAATCATTCCACTCCAGTCTAAATATAGACATTTGCAAGCTTCTTAAGGCCATAGCTAAACACGAAAAAAAAACAGACGGTCTAAATAAGTGGATTCACTAGGTATATTAAAGCTGAAAAACTCAAATCACAATCATTTATGAACAGTTAGTTTTGATTTGAATTGAAGCCGGACCGTTCCGCGCCGCATATACAATAGCTCTATAAACTTTGTTATGTACCTGTTCCAACGATGGTTCGAATTCGGCCATCCTGTGTGCGTTGAACTGGTGGAACCGACTACTCTGATTAAACACTAGAGCCAGAATATCAAGCAGGGCCAAGTTGTCACTGTTAAACTTCAGCACTATCAGCTGCACCAGTTTTTCACAATTACCACGGATTGCACGCTAAACACACTGAAAAAGTTATTACGGCGCTTTAATAGTCAACCAATCCCCCAGCACACCACACCATATACAATCATCATTTTAACGACATAACCAAAATTCTACAGGGCTATGTACGAATTCGTCGTCGCCAAAATCCAATAAGGATAAAAAACTCGTTATATTTTCAACAAAGCCATTGCTATCAAATTATCTGATGGTACGCAGGTTTAATTTGAAGCTGAATTTAAAATATTGGTATCCAACTAATCAGTTTTGGTATTCTTAAACTTCGGTTTCCAACAGGGTTTTTGGTTAACAACCTTAAAGGAGCTTGCTGGCGGTCCGATATGAGGTAGATTGAACTTACCTGTATATCAGCCTTCCAATTTTGGACAGCCTCGTCGTTCAATATTTTGGACGTCGATTGGTGCAGACCTTCTCGGTAGAAACGCAGACATTCAGCACTCTGTTCGTCTTGTTCTAAAAACAAAAAGCATTGTTTTACAAGGACACTTGCAAAAGATGCAAAATATTGTCAAAATAAAAAAAGAGTATATGGAAGTTTTCCTATAATATATTTAATTAAAAATCAACAATTCATAAACCAGCCAAATTGGAAACGACACTCGCAAAACTCTAATTTTCAAAAAACACTTACAACAAAAACGGCGTTTTTTAAATGAAGAACACTTAGCATTGAGGAATCGCTAAATATTGAAGAATCAACTGAAGAACCGCTGAATTTCTAGAAACTGACAGCTCAGAATATTTAAATGAAAGAAATCGGACAGGAAAATCAAAATCTTGCGCTTTTGCAACATTTGTCGAATGTGCAAAATATTAATTTTGCTGTGAAATGTAACTTTAATGCATCTGTACCCAAAATAATAGTCATGATTAAGATAGCCGGTGGTTGCGCAGAGATCCGACCACAATGATTCAAAAAATAACCCGGTTTAAATACCCATAAAAACTTAATTACAAAAAGGGCCCTTCCGTTTAGTTACGGTAAGTGCACAAGCTGGATAGGGCCATACCAGCGTTATAATAATGCATATATATCAGCAAACTGTATCATTTTATCAATGAAGTCATATATCAGCATGACATGCATTGTCGTAATCTTAGACGATTCGAAGGGTAGCTAACCAGGAATTCATCGCTTCTGATTCTTCTTTTCTTGCATCAATTTTTCCAATGAAGGCTGAGTTTGAAAAGTAAAAACTCTAAAAAAAAAACGCGAAACTACAGACCTGCTATTGCCAGTTTTATACTGGCATCCAATAGAACTTCTAGCTCTCCACCTGGCAGTACAGGTATGACCCATCGCGGCCTATTGATCATTTCGTCTAATTTATACAATGTTTGAACCGGGAACTCTTTGATATCCTCCGCGCTACCATTGTCATCTAATATTGATGTACCCACGGTATCCGTTGTGTCATTTGTTACCGCAATCGTTTCCAGGACCAGGTCTTCGGGCGAAACAGTATCATCCGTCGAATTCTCGCTGATGTCCAGCGGACTTTCATGCTCTTGGTAAGGTGGCGGAGGTTCATCTGGCAATGGTATGTCCAATTCAGGACTTTCGAGTAAAGTTATCTGATTCTCAACAGAATGCAACTCATTGTGCTCTGTCACAACTTCGTGTTCTACGTAATTTTGATTTTGAACAACTTCAGCAACGTCAGGAATGATACTTTCATTTCCTTCATTCATTGAGACTGCATCTAAAATAGATCGAAAACCAAAAGTAAAGGGTCATGGTTGTAGCTTACTTTAGGGTAGTGTCGCGTCTACTTTCGCGACAAGTTCAATAATCAAAAAATTCATTACATTAAAACAACATCAACATCACACAGTCCAGCCAAACAATCCAGTCAACATTCAGGAAACATTACCAGAAATGAAAACACATTTGCGGTGGAGAGATCTTTTTTCAATAGCAAAGATTAAACAGGCCAGGAAGAAAAAGGGGGTCAATTAAAATGGGCCCTTCCGTCATGCGACGGTACGTGCACAGGTTGGATAGGCCCGTACCAACGCTACTTAAATACATCGGCAAAATTTTATGAATAAATCAAGTCGATATTAATGCATCAAGAAAATTGTCAATTAAAATCTACCCTCCTCGATTATAGCACAGATAGAATTGTCTATGTTGGATGTACTTTTAAGATTTTTGCACCCCCTAAGGCAGAGGATTGCACTCCTCAGAAGTGCAAAACATATTTTTGTTCTTATAAAGTTTATTGTGTCCGAGTATGATTCGTTCCTATTCTCGCTTAGTTTCTCTGCTAGTTTCTGGATGGTTTTTGTAGAGCCTGGTCCTGCTCCTCCGGTACACGCAAAAATTAGTGGAACACAACTGCTGTGTTCCACATCTAGAAGTCTTTATTGGTATTTAAATGTTTTGACACTCTCATGATAATTGTAGGCGTCAGATATAGTTTTGGGGCAGGATTTAGCATGGGGGTTGAAAATTTTTACATCGAAAAAGGTTCAGCTGAATCGGCCTCCCCAGAGTCTATTTGCCTTGATGTCAAGTCGAGCGTCATCTTCAGTAGTGGTTGTTTTGTTTGAAAGCTTCCGCCTTCCAACGATTGAAGTTTCGGCTCTATTTCAACGTCATGGCATACTTCGGCCAGGAGAGTCGCAAAGGTATCGCGAATTTCATTATGTCTTAGGTGAGTGTATCCACCTTTGAGACAGTGTAGAGATTGGGTCAGTGTGAATGGTTGTCCACATGGGCATGAATGCGGGGTGTTTGTTGGTTTCCATCCATATCTCAGATGTAATCCATCTTAAAACTCTGATTTGTTGAAGGAAAAATTGTATCTTTTTAAGGGAAGCACGTGTGACATTCGACCAGAATGGCCAAAATGCAATCTCTGCAGAATTCGGAATTTTAGCAGTAAGCCTTCCGAGTTGATGATTTCGAAGGACTAACGACGTTATTCGGATGATTGGCAGAACGGTGAAGGTCAGGATATTCCCGTATTTTAAAATTTTAAATTTTCGAAGTGATGACGTAATATTTCTGAGAAGCGTCAGAAGCGGCCATTTTAGAAAAGGAGCTAAGAAAAAACAGAACAACTTTATCTGTGATTGCGAACAGAAAGAAAATCGAGATTAAAGAAAAACGACAACGAACTACAATAGCAGAGAACGTTCCGAGTTGCAACTATTGTGCTGCTACAATAGTTGCAAGGCCGTTGCCAACAACGGTGAAGGGTGAGAACCAGCCTTCCGGATTGGCGTGAAATTGAACTTGAGGAGCTTGATTCACTGGATTCAAGAATCCGGAAGGGTTTCGGGACTGGAACTTTTAGCCTTTTATATAAACTTTTAGCTTCTTGTCATGTCCTGAATTGAATTTAATTAACAACTGGATTCATTTTGATAAGGATGAGAAGCTAGGAGTGGGGGAAAGGGTTGATCCATCTTCGATGGAGATGATGGTTTTTATCTACTGAACAAAAACAATAGTAATATAATAAGTAGTAGCCCTGTTTTTAGGAGTGACCTCGTGGTCTGGGGATACTGAGACCCAGCCATGAGCTCAATAATTTTGCATGTAATTCAGTTAATTTGAGCGTTCTGGTCGAAGCCGGAGAACAGTAACGTTTTTGTCGACCTGATGTAAGAAAGACCACCGAAAAGTACTGGCTTGGTAGAGACGGTGAAAAACATGCAAAGCTCTGTTTAGACGCTAGCCAGTCGTCTTAAGACTTAGTTTTGTTATCCGTCGATATGTATCTTCCGGGAGAATGTTACATGTATGTTTTTATGGCGCTCCTGGGTGTTATTCTTTCATAACATCATGACCGGCGGAACCGTTAACGAGCACTCCGCGCCGAGCGGATGCTCACATTAACGCCCTTAATAGGCCTAAACTGCCGGGGCGGAAGGGTAGTTTGGAACGCGGAAGCCTTCCGGATTGCCGTGAATAGTTTTTTAACCTAGTTAAGACCGAAAATTCACGAACCAGGAAGGGTGGGGGGAATCATGAACCCCTCATCCCCTGAGTGGTTTGTGACCAAAAACACTTAAAGATATAAGCAAAACCAAACAAAAAGTAGTATAGTACCCAAGAAAAACAAAAAAACATAAAAAATAACCGAAAAAACCAAAAACAGTAAAAAAGTAAAAAATCAGTAGAAATCATCCCCCCAGACAAGATGTGATTCAACCCCCCCGTTTGTTGTTGATAGATATATTGTTATTACAGGCATTTATATCAGTCAGGATCGTTACGATCAGTTTTGTAGCCCGTTTGTGAGGCTTGTACTGTAGGGTTATTTGAGCATTTAAGCACGTTAATGACATTTTGCGCTCAATCCGGAAGGGTCAGCTGATTTGCGCTCAATTCGGAAGGGTCCTGGGTGAAGACCGATCCGGCAAGCAGTACAAGGAGCAACAAGAAGGGGCTCAACGACAACAACAATCGACTGTTGGGTATCGTTAACAAGTTTTGTATCCCTTTTGGTACAAAAAGTAAGATAGTAATCTGTGGGGGGCTCGACAGTGCTGCACTGTAGTGACCCTTCACCGAACTGCGAATATCCGAGTTAAGCACCTTAATTCGGATAATAAACAAACCCGGAAGGGTATAGTATTACTAATATTATTATTTATATAGCCTATATTAATAGTCTTATATCGTTTTTCAGTGAAAAACAACGAAAACAGACCGGTTTTTAGGGTCAAAATAGCGATATGTTGATCCCCCCACAAGTCGCGATTTTTGAGATATCGATATTTTTTGAAACGGAAAAAAGCGCTAAGTTAGTGTGTTACATCGTAACTGCACTACTGTAATAAGTAGAACCGGTTAACTTTAGTTCGGAAGTGGTTGGAACTAGTTTGGTACAAAAAACCAAATTTTCCCATTTTTTGATAGTAAGAAACACTATAAAATCAGAAAATTTTTTGAAATCTTTGAGTTAGGACAGTAAAAATAGTTGTTCGGACAACGTCCACTAGTGAATCTACGAGTTTTAAAACCCGCTACCCGAAAGCCTTCCGGGTTGCAGAGAAATCGAACATAACATGTTTGATTTGGTGGATTCATCAATCCGGAGGGGTCCAGGTAGCATAGTTTTTCGCAAACTTTTTCTACAAAAGCGTTTTAGATCGGGTCTTTTGCATTGAACTAGAAGAGTATAGGCCTTCTGAGCTCGGATCAATAATTTTCAGGTCGAAAGGACCAGATTTGCGGAAAAAGTTAGGCGGAACCTATAAGAGAGAAAATTTTTGAGTTTGGAAGAAAGACGTTTTAGTTAATAACTTTGGAACTACTGAGCATATTGAGTTGATCTTGGTACCAATAGATCAGAAATTAGCAGAACTTACTAGTAGGAAAGAGAATTACTCGAAAAAGCGAGCGAGAAAATTTTTTGAGATTGTTTTTAGCAAATTACACAAATCCGGAGGGGTACACCCTTCACGTTTTATAAATTTTTCTGAAAAACCCTTATACCTCTACCAAAAGTTGATAGCGATTGAACTAAGTAACTTAGGACAGTTCTAGACAAAAAGGGAGGGCTGAAGGCACAAGACAACCATAATAGAGTCGAAATTAGGCAAGTGATAAGACCCTTCACCGTTAGTGTGAATTGTCAAATAAGTGCCTTAACTTCAATCCGGAGGGGTCTAGGAAAGGACCCTATACCCTTCCCAGTTAATTCTAAACAGCATAAAAGCAACGCAGAACGTATCCCGAGGGGTACAAGCTGAAATTAAGAAAAGCTACTTTGACAGAGCTAAGGGCTCCCAATCCGGAGGGGTCGAAGTTTTTCAAAGTCAGAGGGGTCCGAATCCGGAGGGGTCTCTTTTCCACAAAACCGGAGGGGTCCAAATCCGGAGGGGTCTACTATTAACTAACTCGGAGGGGTGCCAATCCGGAGGGGTCCATATTCTGACAGTCCGGAAGGGTCCTATTTGTACCAATCCGGAGGGGTATTATTTTATTAAGGACTTAGGTAAACGAAAGAAAGACTAAAAAGCGAGAGGTATTAGGTTATTAATACACAGGCTAGGTATCAGTGACTGCACTGGTAACTTGCCTTTCAAAAAGAACCAGACTAATACAAAACAGGTCCGAACTCGGATATTCGCGACACTAAGTCTAAATTAAAAAGAGCGTGACTCATTGGTGTGGATTGGAACATAATACGTTTTTGGGAAAAGTGACTGCCCTGAGGATTTTAGTACGTCTAGCTCGGGCAGTCCGAAGGCAGATAGGTAACACAATACTCGGTGGGTGCAATAGACGACCACTTGAGAAAATAACTGCCTTCAAAGTTTTGTCTGTTTGGTGCAGCACCAAGCAGGGAAAGCTTTTTCTTTAAAAGACAGGTTCGACTATTGTACTGCGACCGACTAAGAGTACAAGACACATACGTTTTTTTTAATATATACATTCAGATTGTGTCAATATATATTTTTTTTGTTTTTTTTTTTTTTTTTTTGATTTTAAATCAACCTAAACTGTGCTTGATTGGGTAGTGACTACACTATCTTTTAAATTGACTGATAACATCATATTGTGCTAGTTTCCAGATCTTTGGACCGATAATCGGCTAGTGTGAATAAATTTTATACAAACTGTACTCTGACAACATACAGGGATTCGTGGTCACTAGTTAGTAGAATCTGGTGAAATTTATTGTGTTGTGTCATTATTATTGTTAATAAAACTATAAGGTCTCTAGCAATTGAGTCA